ATTGCTAAGCTCCAGCGTGATTTAAAAAAAAAACTACAACATCAGCTAGTTGCTCTTAAACTAGTCCGGAATACCTCCAAAATCAAGGTGCTATGCTTCTCACCAGGACTAAAGCAGGAAGTTATTTTTTCCCCTATTACATTCCTTAAATAATTATCAAATAGAGCAAGTCAAGATCTATAAGTATCTTGGGGTCATCCTGGATACCATACTTCCTCTACTTGATTTCTGTGACATCGTGTATAAATCATCCCCCAGTACTGTACTGAAGAAGCTTGACCCAATTTATCACTCGGCCTTAAGATTTGCATTGAGCTGCCCATATAGGTCCCACCGCTGCGATCCCTACATTGGGTCAAACTTAACATCTCTTAATGTTCGACGGCTTGTGCATCAGATCTTATTTATTCACGATGTACTAACAAAAAAAATCAGCAGACTACCTGCTGGATCTCCTCACTGTTTCGAAGAACAAATGTGACCTAAGGTCTTCGCTCATTTACCAGCTTCACATTCCTTATTGCCGTACAAATACTGGAAGGTCCGTTGTTGTTGATGCCCTCAGGGTCTGGAATGCTATCGCCAATAAACTGCAACTTGGATCACTACCTGTGAGATCTGCACTCAAAACTGCTCTTGAGGAGCTGTACACCCCCCGCTGCCACTGCTATGCAGAGTGGCCTGAAATCAAATGCACCGCTCCGGATGTCCGCTGCAAAGTATGATCTTGAGTTTCGATTAAAGTGTGCTGCTCTTTAAAGGTGCATTGAAAAATGTTGATACTCCTGCCGATACTCCTGCTGTTATGGAGTGACTAATGCTGCCAGCTATGGCTGCAAAGTTTGGTCGTACATGTTCCGTATATCGTTTATTGTTAAATTTGAATCACAGTTCCTATGATCACTGTTACAATGTTTTTATAGATTTATTTTGGTGATATTCGAAAACGTATGGTTAAGCCATGTTTGTTTGTTGAAGTATGTAGTTAGCCTGATAACTTTATCTAAATTGCCTGATGGTTGTTATTGTTGGACTTGCATCCCATTGGGATTTTTGTACACAGCATTGATATACGGTGCTTTATTCTTAAAGGTTTAACTGTTTTTTCCTGGATGTTTCAGTTGCGCGTCGTCACTTTAAGATGTTCTTTGTTCATGTTTTGTTTGTTGCGGTTGCACCCGAGCACAAGAGCCTCATGGCTCACAGGGCTATACCTAATAAATAAAAAGTGAAAATGAAACTGATTCACGCATTGTACCCGGTACTCATTTGAGGCTGAGTCGACTTAGGGGAGGCCCAGGACCGGTTCAGATAATCGTCACTCGTGTCGGCTGTGAGCGGGAATGGAACTCGGGCCATCGGGTTCGTAGCGCAGCGCGCTCACCGCTAAACGATCGCTCCCCACATTGGTACACACACACACAAACTAGTACATACAGTGAGGGAAAAAAATATATTTAATCCCCTGCTGATTTTGTACGTTTGCCCACTGACAAAGAAATGATCAGTCTATAATTTTAATGGTAGGTTTATTTGAAAAGTGAGAGACAGAATAACAACAACAAAATCCAGACAAACGCATGTCAAAAATGTTATGAATTGATTTGCATTTTAATGAGGGAAATAAGTATTTGACCCCCTCTCAATCAGAAATATTTCTGGCTCCCAGGTATCTTTTATATAGGTAACGAGCTGATATTAGGAGCACACTCTTAAAGGGAGTGCTCCTAATCTCAGCTTGTTATCCGTATAAAAGACACATGTCCACAGAAGCAATCAATCAATCAGATTCCAAACTCTCCACCATGGCCAAGACCAAAGAGCTCTCCAAGGATGTCAGGGACAATATTGTAGACCTACACAAGGCTGGAATGGGCTACAAGACCATTGCCAAGCAGCTTGGTGAGAAGGTGACAACAGTTGGTGCGATTATTCGCAAATAGAAGAAACACAAAAGAACTGTCAACCTCCCTCGGCCTGGGGCTCCATGCAAGATTTCACCTCGTGGAGTTGCAATGATCATGAGAACGGTGAGGAATCAGCCCAGAACTACACGGGAGGATCTTGTCAATGATCTCAAGGCAGCTGGGACCATAGTCACCAAGAAAACAAATGGTAACACACTGCGCCGTGAAGGACTGAAATCCTGCAACGCCCGCAAGGTCCCCCTGCTCAAGAAAGCACATATACATGCCTGTCTGAAGTTTGCCAATGAACATCTGAATGATTCAGAGGACAACTGGGTGAAAGTGTTGTGGTCAGATGAGACCAAAATTGAGCTCTTTGGCATCAACTCAACTCGCCGTGTTTGGAGGAGGAATGCTGCCTATGACCCCAAGAACACCATCCCCACCGTCAAACATGGAGGTGGAAACATTATGCTTTGGGGGTGTTTTTCTGCTAAGGGGACAGGACAACTTCACCGCATCAAAGGGACGATGGACGGGGCCATGTACCGTCAAATCTTGGGTGCGAACCTCCTTCCCTCAGCCAGGGCATTGAAAATGGGTCGTGGATGGGTATTCCAGCATGACAATGACCCAAAACACATGGCAAAGGCAACAAAAGGAGTGGCTCAAGAAGAAGCACATTAAGGTCCTGGAGTGGCCTAGCCAGTCTCCAGACCTTAATCCCATAGAAAATCTGTGGAGGGAGCTGAAGGTTCGAGTTGCCAAACGTCAGCCTCGAAACCTTAATGACTTGGAGAAGATCTGCAAAGAGGAGTGTGAGATGTGTGCAAACCTGGTGGCCAACTACAAGAAATATCTGACCTCTGTGATTGCCAACAAGGGTTTTGCCACCAAGTACCAAGTCATGTTTTGCAGAGGGGTCAAATACTTATTTCACTCATTAAAATGCAAATCAATTTATAACATTTTCGACATGCGTTTTACTGGATTTTTTTGTTGTTATTCTGTCTCTCACTGTTCAAATAAACCTACCATTAAAATTATAGACTGATCATTTCTTTGTCAGTGGGCAAACGTACAAAATCAGCAGGGGATCAAATACTTTTTCCCTCACTGTATACACAACTCGCACAACAATAGCAGTCGCCACTTACGCTTGTGTCACCAGGCTGTGCACTTTCGAGTGACGCAGTTAGGTGTTGTGGAAGGCTCCTGTTGCTGCCGGGAGGTCATGGGACAGATCCGCAGATGCTCCGGGTTAACTGGGATGCCCGACAGAAGACGCACCCCGCCACCCCCGTGCTCCCCACACACTCTGCCAACTTGCAAAATTAACCTCTCCCCTCCACGTGGTGTCAAACGCGAAACACTGCGGCGTTTCGTCAAACAACGGCACTGGAGGGGAAAGGCTGATGCGAGTTGGGGGGGGGGGGGGGGCACCGCATTTGCTAGATGTTAACTCCTTCGCCTGGTATGCAGGACGTCGTGGGTTCGATCCCGGCCCTGACATCTGCTGTATGTTTGGAGCTGTCGTCTCTCTCTCATCATTACCATCATCACGGTGACAGAGGAAATGTTAACTACCTCGCCTGGTACGCAGGAGGTCGTGGGTTCGATCCCGACCATGACGCCTGCTGTATATTTGGAGTTTGCGTCTCTCTCTCATCATCACGGTGCCTAAGAGATGTTAACCACCTCACCTGGTATGCAGGATGTCATGGGTTCAATCCCGACCCTGACGCCTGCTGTATAGTTGGAGTTTGCATGAGCCTCTCCCCGTGGTCGCGTGGATTTTTCTCCGGTTCCTCCGGGTTTTTCCCCCTCCACGTTTGGAATCAAGGTCACGTTGTTTGGGAGTGTTTGGCTGCTGCTCGACATTTCCACACGATGATGATGAGCCACTTCGTTGCGCTATCATGTGTGGCCAGGTCGCTTCTGCAAAGGAACTACAACATAGCTCTCAGTGGAGCCTCTCACCGTCTCATCGTCCATCACTGAACATCACCGAGTCTCTTCCTGCATCGCCTCGTCTCCCTGTGTCTGACCGTGGCTTTCACGTATTTTGTTGTCTATCACCGTGTCCCTTGTGTCTCACCGTGTCTTGCTGTATGATCGCCCCGTCTCCCCCAAGTCTCGCCGTGTCTTAATGACTGCCCCCCCCCCCCCCTTATCTCCCGTCTCTCGCCGTGCATCACCCAAGCATCCAGCGTCTCACGTCTCCGCGTGTCTTACTATCACCCGTGTCCTGCTGTCCTATCGCCCGCTCTCCCCACACGTCTCGCGGGCCTTTTCCATGAGCGTCCCTGGCTCTCCCCGCGTCTCCCCGCGTCTCCCTTGCGTCGCATCGTGTGGATGAGACGCCCTTGGTGAGAGACTCGTTACGATTGGGGGCTAAGGGAGTGAGGGAAGGGGGGTTGCTAATGGAATGGATGCGGCTGGGCTGGGTGGCGGCTCGTCGGTAATGGCCCGGGTCGTGGCATCGAACCCACGACCTTCCGTATACCAGGCGAGGTAGTCAACATCGCGCCACCATGGGGAGATACACAAACCTGTCAATCCCTTATCATTGCCCTGCCTTATTACAGACCAATTCAGACCGTACTGGTCACCACGTGCCCGTTATAAATCTCAACGTTCATCCTACGAAGTTCCGTCACGAGGGAGAAACACAATAGACAATCACCACTACTCTTACCATTAGTACACTCACCACTAGTACACTCACCACTATAAATCTGTCAATCCCTTATCAGTGCCCTGCCTTATTACAGACCAATTCAGACCGTATTGGTCACCACGTGCCCGTTATAAATCTCAACGTTCATCCTACGAAGTTCCGTCACGAGGGAGAAACACAAACAAACACGTAGACACACATTGTTGTTGCCCGTCGTTGAAACGGCTGTGCGCCCGCATGGACCTACGATATCACGGGGTAAACCCGTGCGGGTCGACGCGGTTGAGGATAACAGGGGAAGCCTGAGAGACACGGGGAGGGGGGGGGGTGTGTGGAAGTCAGAGAGACACGGGAGAGACAACGAGAGAGGAGGGGGGTCTCAGAGACACACGGCTACTGCCTTGCTCCCTCACCCGCTAGCAGTAGCAGCAGCAGCGGCGGAACCAGCGACAACCACAACGCAGCCATGACGGTGGCGTCTCTTCCGGGTTTGCCGTGCGGGCCGGAAGTGATGTAGCGAGGAAACAGGAAACCGGCCCCTCCATCACCACCACCCGTCCATAAATGACGTCACGCACCGGGTGGGGGGGGGAATCAGACACTTGTGACGATATGTGACGATGGGGGGGGGGGGGTTGAGAAATGTGACGTCACATCAAAATGCGCAACTTTAAATAAATATAGACAAACACGTTCTACTTTAATTTTGATTTAAAGCTTTCGTGACTGCAGTAATTCATATTCTTAGCTCTTTCGGTAAAGTAACGTTGAAGGGAAACAATAAAATAATAGGGTCGAAACGTCGTGAAAATTTTTATTGTTTTATATATATATTTTATTGTTTCCCTTCAACGTGACTTTACCGAAAGAGCTAAGAATACGTTCTACTTAATTAAATATACTTTTTCATAAATGTTTTCTCCTACAACATCAGAGTGCAGCGCCACATTAAATACGCACTACAATGACGATAGTTTAAAGCGATTTAAAAGCATGGGTTTTTTGGGTGGGGGGCAGAGCTTTGTGACGTCATATTTGAGGGGGGGGCCTGACGTTTTGTGACGCCGTGTGACGATGGGGGGGGTAAAAATTCGTCCAAAATCGCGTGACGTCATTTATGGACGGCCCCTTAGAACTGCTATAAGTTTCCACGTGATGATGATAAGTCCACTTCGTTGGGCCATAGTTTGTAATAGCCAGGTCGCTTCTGAACAAAAAGCTACGCAGCTCAGTGGTAAGATTAAAAAAATATTTAAAAATTTGTTTTAGTTTATAATTTAACTGGGTGACGTAATTGCGTCGGAAACGCATCGTGCGATGACGTTATGTCACCCTTTCGCTCGCCCTCGGAAGTGACGCGGGTGTAGAAATCGGAATCGAAATTTCTATTTAATGGAATCAATTTCCAATCCCACAGCCCGCAGTGCGTTAAAACGAATCGATTATTCCCCACTGGCACACGACGCCCGAATCCAAATATCGATTCGATTTCCCAAGCGGTTCAGCTCGGCGGCGGGTGCGTGGAGACGTGAAACGTCCCGAGGTCTTTAACGTGTGGGGGTCACGTGGAGGTGAGTGTGGGTCACGTGGGGGGTGACTGGGTAACGTGGGGGGTGACTGTGGGTCACGTGAGGGGTGACTGTGGGTAACGTGAGGGGTGACTGGGTAACGTGGGGGGTGACTGGGTAACGTGAGGGGTGACTGGGTAACGTGAGGGGTGACTGGGTAACGTTGGGGGTGACTGGGTAACGTGAGGGGTGATTGTGGGTAACGTGAGGGGTGACTGGGTAACGTTGGGGGTGACTGGGTAACGTGAGGGGTGACTGTGGGTAACGTGCGGGGTGACTGGGTAACGTGAGGGGTGACTGGGTAACGTGGGGGGTGACTGGGTAACGTGAGGGGTGACTGGGTAACGTGGGGGGTGACTGGGTAACGTGGGGGGTGACTGGGTAACGTGGGGGGTGACTGGGTAACGTGAGGGGGGACTGGGTAACGTTGGGGGTGACTGGGTAACGTTGGGGGTGACTGGGTAACGTGGGGGGTGACTGCGTAACGTGAGGGGTGACTGTGGGTAACGTGAGGGGTGACTGGGTAACGTGGGGGGTGACTGGGTAACGTGAGGGGTGACTGGGTAACGTGGGGGGTGACTGGGTAACGTGGGGGGTGACTGTGGGTCACGTGGGGGGTGACTGGGTAACGTGGGGGGTGACTGGGTAACGTGGGGGGTGACTGGGTAACGTGAGGGGTGACTGGGTAACGTGAGGGGTGACTGGGTAACGTGGGGGGTGACTGGGTAACGTGGGGGGTGACTGGGTAACGTGGGGGTGACTGGGTAACGTGAGGGGTGACTGGGTAACGTGGGGGGTGACTGTGGGTAACGTGAGGGGTGACTGTGGGTAACGTGAGGGGTGACTGGGTAACGTGAGAGGTGACTGGGTAACGTGAGGGGTGACTGTGGGTAACGTGAGGGGTGACTGGGTAACGTGAGGGGTGACTGTGGGTCACGTGAGGGGTGACTGGGTAACGTAAGGGGTGACTGGGTAACGTTGGGGGTGACTGGGTAACGTTGGGGGTGACTGGGTAACGTGAGGGGTGACTGGGTAACGTTGGGGGTGACTGGGTAACGTGAGGGGTGACTGGGTAACGTGAGGGGTGACTGTGGGTAACGTGAGGGGTGACTGGGTAACGTGGGGGTGACTGTGGGTAACGTGAGGGGTGACGGTGGGTAAAGTGAGGGTGGCCTTCAAAGGTGCTCGCTAAGAGCACTTGCCTCAAGTCTGTTATGGCTATATAGGGGATCTTTGTTTTTTTGTGGTTGTGTAGTTGTGGGTGTGTGTGGGTGTGTGTGGGTGTGTGTGGGTGTGTGTGGGTGTGTGTGGGTGTGTGTGGGTGTGTGTGGGTGTGTGTGTGTGTGGGGGGGTGTGTGGGGGTGTGTGTGTGGGTGTGTGTATGGGTGTGTAGTTGTGGGTGTGTGTGGGGGTGTGTGTGTGGGCGTGTGTGGGGGTGTGTAGTTGTGGGGATGACCCTGCTGAGGATGCGGTTCCTCAAATATTGGAGGAAGTCACCCCCTGTGAGTGGCTGGTTGAGGTGCCATCTGTTGAGGAAGTACTGAAGGCGATCCGGAGTCTGAGACCAGGAAAGGCACCGGGCAGAGATGATCTCCCAAGTGAAATGCTGAGGGAGGGTGGCGTTTGTGCACAGACTGCCCTATATGACATCATAACAATTGTCTGGACCACTGTACGGGTTCCACAGGATTGGAAGGATGCCCTGGTGGTCCCCCTCTTTAAGAAGGGGGACCGCACAGACTGTAACAACTACAGGGCATCTCACTCCTCAGTGTGCCGGGAAAGGTCCTGGCAATTATTATTCAACATCGCCTTGCCAGGCACGCTGAGGGAGAGGCTTGCGGAGCCCCAATGCGGTTTCAGGAAAGGGCGGTCCTGCACAGATGCCATATTTTCTGTCTGCTACAGCAGAGGTGTAGGGAATTCCAGCAAGACCTACATCTCTGCTTTATTGACCTGGTCAAGGCTTATGCTACCATCAGTAGGCCTGGGTTCTGGGTTGTTCTTCGTGCTTTTGGAGTCCCTGGCCCTCTGCTCACGATCATTAAGGACCTTCATGATGGTGAGTGGGCCCGGGTAAAACTACGTGGCCGGGAGTCAGAGCCATTCCCTGTACAGCTTGGGGTGTGACAGGGATGTCCTCTGGCTCCCATATTATTTAACATCTATTTTGACCACGTAGTTCGTGAAGCCTTCAATAGCTGTACCGGGGGAATTTCCATTTGGTACAGATATAATGGGAGGCTGATCGATGCCCGGGTGCGGTCAAGGGATGGTTCCCTATTGCTCAACCATGTTATGTATGCCGATAATCTGGTAATTGTTGCTCACTCAGAGGAGGAGTTGGAGGCGCTGCTGCTGAACCTGGAGCTTGCCACTAAGAGGTGGGGCCTTACCATCAGCCCCACCAAAACTAAGCACCTACCTGGGTATTTTGTACCATTGGACACTCCACCCCCACAACTCACAATTGGTGATAGGGCACTTGTGGAAAGAGTGGAGAGTTTCCCATACCTGGGCAGTGTGCTCATGACCAGGTCCGGTTTGACAGCAGAGGTCTCACTCCGAATCAGTTGAGCGGTATTATCTTTTCATCGGTTGCGTAACGCTGTGTGGAAGGTACCTGGTCTGTCGCTCCGCATTAAGCTTCAGGTCTTCTCGGCCACGGTCATTCCCTCCTCTACGCTTGCGAAACATGGACCCCCCTAATGGAACATCTTCGCCGGTTAGAAACATTTAGGCTAGCCTGCCTACGATCCATCTTGGGTTTAACCAGGCTGGATTGTGTGAGGAGCTCACAAATCCTTGAAAGATCTGGGCAAGGTCCCATCGGTGAGCTCCGGCAGGCAAGGCTGCGTTGGCTGGGTCATGTAGCCCGGATGCCCAGCCATTGCATGCCGAAACAGCTTTTGTTCGTGGCACGGGCTAGAGAAGAGATGGAGTGATGTGGTACAGGAGGACGTGGAGCTGAGTGGACTTGCCGATGACTGGTACCAGCGTTGTCAAGATCTGCCTCTGTGGAGGAGGCTCGTGAAGGATGCTACTGGGCAGTTGGAGGCAGTCACCCTCCAACAACGGAGGGCGGAGGAGCGACGCTCACAACAACGAGCGGAGCGCCGGGTGGCTAAAGCACAGCAGGTTGGCACAGTAGGGGGCACAAGTGGTGCATCAGCCAGTCATCTCAGTCAGTCGACCCGTGGCACCTGGTTCTGCCCCATGACCTCCTGCCAGCGGGCGTTCGACACTCCACGTGGCCTCAATGTGCACATGGCGTGGCACAAGCGTCGTGGTGATGTCACCGCCACTTAGTGGCGATTGGCGGTTGTTGTTGTTGGGGGTGTGTAGTTGTGGGTGTGTGTGTGGGGGTGTCTATGTGGGGGTGTCTGTGTAGTTGTGGGTGTGTGTGGGGGTGTCTTTGTGTGTGTGATTGTGTGTGTGATTGTGTAGTTGTGGGTGTGTGTGGGGGTGTCTGTGGGGGTGTGTAGTTGTGGGTGTCTTTGGGGATGTGTAATTGTGGTGTCTGTGGGGGTGTGTAGTTGTGGGTGTCTGTGGGGGTGTGTGATTGTGTGTGTGTGATTGTGTAGTTGTGGGTGTGTAGTTGTGATTGTATAGTTGTAGTTGTGTGTGGGGGTGTCTGTGGGGTTTCGTGGTAATTTTTGAAGGTGGAGGGGTTACCAGCCCCTCGCACCCGTCCAGAGCCCCCGTTTAGCCACTGTGGTGGTCACAGATGCCATGAGGGGAGAGGGCCAATCGGAATTGGCCCTCTCCCCACAGCACTTTCCACGACAGAGTTGCCCGTCCGGCACCGCGAGGAGGTAGGGGGTTGTTTTGCCTGGCACAAGCGTCGTGGTGACGTCACCGCCACTTGGTGGCGAATGGCGGTTGTTGTTGTCTGTGGGGGTTTGTGTGGGGGTGTGTGGTTGTGGTGGTAACGATTAGCGTTACGCTGCACTACAAATCCGGCGAGCCGAGTTCCATTCTCGCTCACGGCGAACACCGGTGTATGTTAATGTGTGTTTGAGTGTGTGTGGGGAGCGGTAGTGTAGCAGTTAGCGCGCTGCGCTATGAACCCAGCGACCCGAGTTCAATTCTTGCCAACACCAGTGATGATTATCTGAACCGGTCCTGGGCCTCCCCTAGGTCGACTTAGTTTCAAATGAGTACCTGTTGCGGTGTGTAAACATCTCCACTGGGGAGACAAAGGCGTCCGGGCGTGGCGCTGGCCACCCACCCCCTCGTGTGCCGTGCCGGCCTTAATAGGTGTTCGCTAACAGCACTCTCCCCAACATTCTGTTAAGGCTACACGGGGGATCTTTGTCTGTGTGTCAACCCATGGCATCACTCGGGTCTCCCGTGACCTCCTGCCAAGCGGGCTTTCGACACTTCCCCGTGGCCGTAACGTGCACCCGGCCTGGCACGAGCGCCGTGGCGACGTCACCGCCGCCACTCGGTGACGATCGCCGGCGGTTGTTGTTGTTGTGTAGTCTGTGTGGTGTTGGTTGTTGCAGGGTGTGGTGCGAGTTGCGTGTTGCGGGTCGTGGGTTCAGGGCCGCAGCAATGAAGCCCCCAAACCGGCAGCGTTCGGCCCCTTCGCGATTCACCGTCGACAACGGGGCGCGAGGGAGCAATGGCGGCGGCGGCGGCGTCGCCCGGCCCCGAGCGTGGCTCCGCCGGGAGAAGCGCGACGTCCTCCGGGCTCTACGCGAGCACCGCGGCAGGGCCCCCGCGAGCCCCGGGAGCCTCGCAGCGGCCATCGGCTGCGCCCTGCCCGGCCGCACCCACGCCCAGCTGGAGGCTTTCCTGCTGAAGCGCGGACCGGGGTCGCGGTGGTGGCAGTGGTGTGGAGGGGAGGGGAATGACGACGACGACGAGGTGGATGAGGAGAGAAGATCGCCACTGGATGTGAGTGAGGGGAGAGCAGATCGCCACGGTGGCGAGGTGTGAACTGGCTCGCCCGGTATGCTGGAGGTCGTGGGTTCAGAAACAAGAGAATCAGAATATTTATTTATACTGGAGGAGGAATCCGGTGTCCAGTCGGGTGCATGGGGTAAGAACGTTACAGCGACAAACACAATACAAAACACTATAGGAGTGCAAAGTTCAAGAAAGGTAAACAAATCGCCCAAACACAAACACACTTAAGCGGTGTGCTTTTGCTAAGTTACACACTTAAGCGGTGTGTGCTTTCCCTAAGTTATACACTTAGGCAGTGTGCTTTCGCTAAGTTACACACTTAGTGTGTGCTTCTGCTAAGTTACACACTTAGTGTGTGCTTCTGCTAAGTTACACACTTAATGTGTGCTTTCGCTAAGTTACACACTCAGTGTGTGCTTTCCCTAAGTTACACACTTAGTGTGTGCTTCCGCTAAGTTACACACTCAGTGTGTGCTTTCGCTAAGTTACACACTCAGTGTGTGCTTTCGCTACATTGTCCCCACCTGAAGGACGCTTGTATTCTTGGTTCTTTCGGTAAAGTCACGTAGAAGGGAAACAATAAAATAATACAAATATAAAACAATGAAATTCTCACGACGTTTCGACTGCAACACAAGCAATCATCATCAGGTGTGAAAACCACAGCAAGAAAATTTTCCGTGAAAACCACAGCAAGGAGATTTTCCGTGAAAACCACAGCAAGAAAATGTTCTTGCTGTGGTTTTCACACCTGATGATGATTGCTTGTGTTACAGTCGAAACGTCGTGAGAATTTCATTGTTTTATATTTTTATTATTTAATTGTTTCCCTTCTACGTGACTTTACCGAAAGAACCATAAATATGAATCCCTGGAGTCACGAAAGCTTTAAATCAAAAGGACACTTGTGTTGCGCCCCAAACGTCGCGATTTAATTTATTTTAATTAGTTACCTACGTGACTTTACCCGAAAAAAACAAAGAGTATGAATCCTTGCAGTCACGAAAACTTCAAATCTAGGACAAACGATCCCACAAGCCACCCCACTCTACCGCTGAGCCTCCACCCAGCCCAGTCGCATCCATTCGGATAGCCTCCCTTTTAGGCCCCAATCGTAGCGGGTATCCCACCTATGACGCCGCGGTGGCTAGGAGATACGGGCAACAAAAAAAGTGTCTATTTGTTTGTGTTTCTCCCTTGTGATGGGACTTTGTAGGATGAACGTTGAGATTTCTAAGGGGCACGGGGTGACCAATAAGGTCTGAATTGCTCTGTAATAAGGTAGGGCACTGATAAGGGGTTGACAGTTATGGTTTCTCCAAATTACTTGTTCCATCAGCAGCAGTTTCAGTATACAGGAGGTTCATGGGTTCGATCCTGACTCTGGCGCCTGCTTTATATTTGGAGTTTGCGTGTCTCTCTTCCTGTGGTCGAGTGGATTTTTCACTGGGACCTCTGGATTTTCCCTCCACATGTCGAATCAGCATCACGCGTTTTGGCCGATATAAATTTCCACACCACGATAAGCCGTTTAGTTGAGCTATCATTTGTGGCCAGGTCACTTCTGAAAAAAGAGCTATATAGCTCAGTGAGCCTTACCCGTTAAAATACAAATAAAAGAGTTTATCAGTAGCAGCATCATTCTTGTCATCATCATTAACAGCAGCATTAACAATATTCATACTGGAGGAATGGGATGAGCAATAAAGCTCTTTTGCACAGATGTCCAGTATAAGAATGATGGCACGGATACTGAAATGTATTAAATTATTACAATCGTCATTGTCATCAGTCGAGCGTTTAGCTTCCGGTTGTCACAGGGTGCGGTCTCCGTGTCCCGTTGCAGCGGTGGATCGAGGTGGCTGAGCGGGCCTCGGGCACCGTGGTGGACACCACTTCGACCGCGTTCATGCAGGTGAGCAACCCTCCACTGTGAGACACGTGGGGGGGACGTGTGGGGAGACGCGGGAGGACACGGGGGGACATGGGAGACATGGGGGGACACGGGAGACATGGGGAGACACGGGTGGTTAGCACACTGCGCTACGAACGTGACGACCCAAGTTCAATTCCCTCTCACGGCCAACATCGGTGATGGCGAACGTCAGAACCCTGGTGCTGGGTCCTCCCCAAGGAAGCCTTTAATGAGTACCTGTGAAGAGGAGTCGGAGACTGTTCAAGCGCTTCTTTATTCTTTAAACCACCGCCACCACTCGTTCCTAATACCAACCCCGAACACGCGTCTCACAGCTCAATCTAGATTTGCAGGGATCCACGCTCTTTGGTTCTTACGGTAAAGTCACGTAGGTAGAAAATAAAATAAATTAAATCGCGACGTTTCGGGCGCAACACAAGCACGCGTCATCAGGTGGGACAACCACAGCAGGAAACAATTGCTGAAGTGGGCAAGAGGGCTGCTGTATTTTATACCTACGTGACTTTACCGAAAGAACCAAAGAGTACGTCTCACAGCCACTTTAAACGCTTCATTTCCGCCCTCGTTCCCAACGCAGCACATCTCCGTCTCGCACGCCGAGTCCGTGTGACGTCAGTGCCCTTTAACCCTTGACCCCCGTCTAGTGTATTACCCGTGCGTGTGATTGGTGTGGTGCGAGTGCGTGATGATGGCTTGCAGATCCCCTACACCTGTGTAGGGGTGTTATGAAGGAAACACACATTTGTTACAGCCGTTGGGATGCCACGGGACAAACACGTCGGTTAGCACCCTGGGGGACTGTGGGTTTTGGATCCCTCAGAGCCCCGCCCCTCGGGGCCAATTCGTATAAAAGGCGGGAAGAGCCAGAGAGCTCGAGGCAGTGTTGGGGAGCCGAAGAGTGAAGAGCCAGTGAAGACAGAAGACCGGCTAGATAGACCCTGGAATTCCTCTGACCCCCGCTGTCCTTCTCAGGGCCGGGCAGAGCAAGCCAGTGGTGTGGCCCCAGAGCCTCAGAGCCGATGTCCTTCTAAGGGCCGGGTCTCTGTCGTGACCTGCGCCGAAGCTGGGCCAGGTCAGGTAGCCTCCCCTAGCGCCTTTAGCGGAGGACCTGGGAGCATAAATAGTTAGGCAGATAGCCTAGGGGTGTATCCCAGTCCAGTACGGGTGAAGGGGACGTTACCCCTTCTCAGTGTTACTCTGTTGAATTCTAATAGTGCTGCCTCGACTGCACCGTCTCTGTCGTGCGTGAACCCACTACAGCTGTATGAATTGTACGTTGAACGTCTTTCGCACCGTACGTAGCCAAGGTGCGGTCACGTGGATAAATGGGCCATCTGATTTGGTTTCCCGGCAAACCGGAATGTTCCAAAGCGGGCAACATTTTGATGTTGTACAACGTTTCACTGCATACTACAGGCAGCGTCATCAGGTGTGTCGACAGAAGCTTCAGCTCTCTCGTGAGCTGAGCTGAGAAATGAATATCGCTGGTTTCACATCACCTGTCAACCCATACGGTTTACCCGTATTCTTGTACAGGGAAATTGAGTTTTTGGGTCCATACAGCGTACAGCCGTTTCAATACGGGCAACAAACAATGTTTGTCTATTTGTTTGTGTTTCTACCTTGTGATGGGACTTTGTAGGATGAACGTTGAGATTTATAAGGAGCACGGGGTGACCAATGAGGTCTGAATTGGTATGTGATAAGGTAGGGCACTGATAAGGGGTTGACAGGTATGGTTTCTCCAAATTACCTGTTCCACCAGTAGCAGCAGCGTTTCAGTAAAATATTAGTGCCCTCAGGGGGGAATTCATATTTTGCCACAGTGGCTATGAGATGTTAACTACCTCGCCTGGTATACAGGAGGTCGTGGGTTCGATCCTGACCCTGACACCTGAATATTTGGAGCTTGCATGTCTCGCTGTGGTCGTGTGGATTTTTCTCCAAGTCATTTCGGTTTTTCCCTCCACATTTAGAAGTTCCACGTGATGATGATGATGATAAGTCCACGAAATTGAGCTATCATTTTTGATGGCCAGGCCGCTTCTGAAAAGAGAGCTACACAGCTCAGTGAGGGGCCTTACCTGGAAAAATAAATTGTTTAGTTTATGGGAAAAAATGTTTCGATGTACGGTACGATTTTTTTACTTTGCATTCGGCTTTTTTTAAACGACGCAACCCCAGACGCATATCGAGGCGCGCCCTTACCCAAGGACCTTTTCTGTCTCTCTCCCTCTCTGTGCGTGTGTTCTCCAGGTTTTCACGATCGGCGATCTTGAAACTCACCAACCGGGGTCTCCCTCCCTCAACCCTCGCTCCCCCGGGGTCTCCCCGACCCCCGCTACGGCCGAGCCGCTGCTGCACCCCCCGACAGCCGCCCACCGCAGTGGGGGACTCGACCGCTCCCCGCGGGGAGCGCAGCAAGAGGAGCAGGAGGGGGGTGAGGCCCTGAGCCTGGGCTGTGTCTACAAGTACCTGGCATCGGCCTTCAAGGCGGGACCACCGCCCCCCATCAACGCCAAAGGTGGGTGCAGAGAGATACAACCGAAAACTTTTAACTACAGTGGGTACCTCGGTATACGTCGTTAATTCGTTCCAGAAGGTAGGACTTGTACCGAAAATGACGTGAATACCAAACGAATTTTTCCCATAAGAAATAAATGGAAAGGAAATCATCCGTTCCAGAGTATAAGAAATGATATTTTATACGGCATATTATACATTAATGGTGTTGTATAAAATAATTTAGACACTACTTATTTTAATGTATGTATGCATTTTAGTAATAAATGCATAAATAAAAATAAAATGTAACGTCACTTTACCTTGCTGAGAGGAGTTAAAATGACAAAGAACACGTGAAAATTCACAGAGTTATAGTAAGGGTTGTGCACTGAACGAGATCTACAGGCAGACTGAGTCGTGAACGGGGTAGACGCGGGTACGCGGTGACTCATCCCCACCCATACAAGTTCTAGCAAGCATGTCGTAACCCAAGCAAGACGTATCCCAAGCAAGACGTTGTATCCCAAGCAAGACGTCGTACCCCAAGCAAGACGTACCCCAAGCAAGACGTATCCCAAGCAAGACGTATCCCAAGCAAGACGTATCCCAAGCAAGACGTAACCCAAGCAAGATGTATCCCAAGACATTTTTTTCTCGTCAAAACACGACATAGACCAAATGGGACGTAATCCAAAGCGGTCGTATACCGAGGTACGACTGTATATATTTTTTACCATTTAAGGGCCCACACTGAGCTATACGTGCTCTAGCTCCTTTTACCCCCCGGCTGTCACAAATGATAGCTCTACCAAGTGGCTTCTCACGTGAAAATGTTTCGCGGCAGCTAAGTGCTCTGAACGCGTGATATCGATTCTGAATGCGGAGGGAAAACCCGGAGGGCCCGGAGAAAAATCCATACGACACGCAAACTCCAAATATACAGCAGCAGCAGCAGCAGGCGTCAGGGTCGGGATCGAACCCACGACCTCCTGTATGCCAGGCGAGGTAGTGCCGGTTAACCGCGTGGCCGCTGCTGCCTTCCCCGCTCGCCTGTGGCTCCTCCACGCACCTTTAAAATCGTCTACGAGAGCGATGTGCACATTACAGTGGCGAATGACAGCTGTTGTGGTTGTTGCTGTATGTACGTACGTGCCGTCTATGTGGAGTGATGTGGTACGAGTGGATATGGAGCTGAGTGGACTTGCCAATGACTGGTACCAGCGGTGTCAAGATCGGCCTCTGTGGAGGGGGAGGCTCATGAACGATGCTGCTGGGGCAGTTCGAGGCAGTCGCCCTCCAGCAACGTAGCGAGTTGGCACAGTGGGGGGCATAGGTGGTGCATTCGCCAGTCGTCTCAGTCGGTCAGCCCATGGCACCTGCGTCTGTACTGTGACCCTCCTGCCAGCGAGCGTTCGACACTTCACGTGGCCGTAAAGTGCACAGCCTGGCATGGGCGCTGTGGTGGCGACGTCACCGCCACTTAGTGGTGACGAACGGCGGGTGTTGTTGTTGTGGTGCGTGCGTGGCAGAGAGTGCGCTGGTGCTTCAGCTGCTGGACGACCTGGAGGAGGAGGTGCGGTGCCTGAGCTCCACGCCGCTCCGCCGGTTCCTCCGGCGCGCTCAGCACCACCTCACGGGGCCTGCGGAGTCGGACGTGGAGATACGGGGAGGAGATGCGGAGGCACACGGAGATGCGGAGGCACACGGAGATGCGCAGGCACACGGAGATGCGGAGGCACACGGAGATGCGGAGGCACACGGAGATGCGGAGGCACACGGAGATGCGGAGGCACACGGAGATGCGGAGGCACACGGAGATGCGGAGGCACATGGAGATGCGGCGATAGGGGGAGACGCTGGTATGAGAGACACAGAGACACGGGACACCATGAGGATCACGGACAAGAAAACCTCTCTTGGCAGTGGTGTGGCCGATGGGGGTGGCGTGCCCAGTATGGGTGGTGTGGCCGCTAGGGGTGGTGTGACGGCGCTTGTTGATACGCGGCTCTCGTCGCCGCCCGCGTTGCCCCTCAACCCGTTCTGTGTTCCTGCTCGGCTTCTCGTGCTGACCTCCAATCCACCGCCACGACCTCCAATCCACCGCCGCGACCTCCAATCCACCACCGTGAACCTCCAATCCACCGCCGTGAACCTCCAATCCACCACCGTGAACCTCCAATCCACCACCCATTGAGATGCGAAATCGTTGCTGGCCAGAGTTATGCCACACGAGGACAGAAGCGAGTTCCAAACCCGAACTGTGCGGTTGAGGGAGGGGGGGAGGATGAGGGAGGGAATGAGGAGTAGGATGGAGGTGGAGTAGGGAGGGTGATTGTTTTGCGTCTCTGAGTGAGGGCTGTCCAGCGTGGACAAGAGCAGGAGTCTGAAATCGCCTGGGCAATCATCACGGCGACTTTATTTCGCTCACAAACGTTCACGCGAGCGAACTGTGCATGGCACTTTGTATATTTTTCAATAAAAGCCTTTCTCTTTGGTTGTTGTTGTTGACAAAGATGTTGTCTGTTGTGCGGAAGTTAACAAAAGGAAAACGTCACAGCATTCAGATTTAGAGTCTTTGTCGACACCGCCCGCCGATGATTTCCAAATATATTTGCCTCTCCCGACAAAAGTGGATTTGTGTTCATCCCATCGACTGCACGAGCCTCCCTGGCCGTGCATATTACCAGCAGCATAGCAATGGTTCGATACATGCAAAACTATTTACCAACTTTTTTTTTTTTACCGGGTAAAGGCCCCCACTGAGCTATGTAGCTCTTTTTTTAAAAAAAAAAGCTCAACGAAAGTGGAGGGGGGGAAAAACCACGCAACCACGGGGAGAGAGCAAGACACCGCAAACTCCAAATATACAGCAGGCGTCAGGGTTGGGATCGAACCCACGACCTCCTGTATACCAAGCGAGGTAGTTAACATCTCAGCCACCGTGGCGCCCAAGGCCTCAGTCACTTTGCATAATAAGCTCAGGAGAGCCGTATGTGCTCGGTAGGCTACGTACGGTGCGAAAGAAGTTGAACATGCAAGTACGACTGCGTCGCTCCCATCACAAAACTCCCGGTTCATCCTCGCAGCAGCGGCCTTTGGCTAAGCATCGAACAGAGGCGGGTCCTGAGTATCAACACCTTGCACCACGGCTGAGCCACATCACGAGCCATGGCTTTGGAAGCAACTGAGGGGAGCGGCAGTGGCTAAAGCCAGAGCCGAGCCGGAGCCTGATACCCGAATGTCGACTTTAGAGTAACAAGCCCAAGAAAATCCAAAGGTGCCTTGTCCCCTGGGCTCTACGAATCTCCAGGATTTACGCAAATCCATAGGCATCGTGGAAACTACGACACACCCGTCAACTACAAAACTACAAACCAGTTTAAGGCCCACTGAGCGACGTAGCTCTTCTTCAGAAGCGAGCTGGCCACAAATGACAGCTCAACGAAGTGGCCTCATCATCGCGTGGAAATTCATAGCAGCCAAATACTCTGAACGCCCGACGTTGATTCTAAATGTGGAGGGAAAAACCGCAGGGCCCGGAGAAAATTCCACGCGACCACGGGGACAGAGACAGACACGCAAATTCCGAATAGACAGCATGCATCAGGGTCGGGATCCGACCCACTATCCTCCTGTATACCAGGCGAGGTAATTAACATCTCGCCACCATGTCACCCACCGATTTTGCTCGTGGTGTGTGGATGGCACCTAAGGGTTCGAGAGTTCAAGAGTCGTTCAAGAGTTCAGGCATCGGCACTCGGGGGGGTCCCGCCGTGCCGCGCTAGATGGGCACGCCTCTCGTCTCCCGGAGCTCCTCATCATCCTCTTCATCCTCACTGTCGCCGTGGAAGGAGCGGTTGGGATGCCCGGCTTCGAGCAGCGAGTAGCTCTGAGGACAAAAAGACACGGAGCCGCGCCGCCGTGTAGCCTTAACAGACTGTTGGGGCAGGCAAATGCCGTAGGCACTGTTGAGGACGTCGGTGAAAAAGAGCTTCATAGCTCACCGGATTCTGCCAGTCAAAATAAAGATTCTGATTCAAAGGCAAAGACCACCCCCGTGTAGCCTTAACAGACTGTTGGGGCAAGTGCTGTTCACGATCGGCGCCTATGAAGGCCGGCGCGGCACACGAGGGGGTGGGTGGTCAGCACCACGCCCGGCCGCCTTTGTCTCCCCAGTGCTGATGTTTACACACGGCACCAGGTACGCATATTCACGTCTGAGTTTATCAAGGGGAGACCTAGAACCGTCTCAAATATTTGCAACGGTTAATAAAGAATTAAAGCTTTCGTGACTGCATAAATTACTCATTGTTTTTTTTTGGTAAAGTCACGTATGTAGGAATACAATAAAATTATATTAAAACAAATCAATCACGACGTTTTCGACCGCAACACAAGCGATCTTCATCAGGCATAAGAAACAAATCACGGGGGTAAATACAACAAGAAAATGAGAGACGAGAATTCAACACGCCTAAGCAAAAATGTGATGCACAACCAGTCAGGTCAACAGACAGGTCAACAGACGCTTACCTGGCGAACCACGAATTTCAGAAGAGTGTTAAATGTCGTGTTCAACCTCTGGATTGAATATTTGCAACGGTTGTTGGTCGAGAGCCGAAATCAAACTCGAGTGACGGCACAGTGCACCAACGACCACCACTACGCGACGACTCGCTCACCCACTCAACCACTGCAGGTCACCTCGCTTCTCTCTCTCTCTCTCTGGTTCTTCCCTCGCACCGCACCAGGTACTGGTTTGGGGCTGAGTCGACCTAGGGGAGGCCCAGGACCGGTTCAGATAATCGTCACCGGTGGAAATTTCCAGCAGCCAGCCACCTGGTGGAGACACTGCCCCCCCCCCCCCCCCCCACTCTACAGCTTGTGCGTGGCCGTGGGGCCCGGCAGGTCGTGCAGCGTCTCCATGAGCGGATGCCTCGGTGTACTGTAGTGTATAGTGTAGTGTATAGTGTAGTGTATAGTGTAGTGTATAGTGTAGTGTATAGTGTAGTGTATAGTAGTGTATAGTAGTGTGTATAGTGTAGTGTATAGTAGTGTATAGTGTAGTTTATAGTAGTTTAGTGTATAGTGTAGTGTATAGTAGTGTATAGTGTAGTGTATAGTAGTGTATAGTGTAGTGTATAGTGTAGTGTATAGTAGTGTATAGTGTAATTTATAGTAGTGTAGTGTATAGTGTAGTTTATAGTAGTGTAGTGTATAGTGTAGTGTATAGTGTAGTTTATAGTAGTGTAGTTTATAGTGTAGTGTATAGTAGTGTATAGTGTAGTTTACAGTAGTGTAGTGTATAGTGTAGTGTATAGTGTAGTTTATAGTAGTGTAGTTTATAGTGTAGTGTATAGTAGTGTATAGTGTAGTTTACAGTAGTGTATAGTGTAGTGTATAGTGTAGCTTATAGTAGTGTAGTGTATAGTGTAGTTTATAGTAGTGTAGTGTATAGTAGCATAGTGTAGTGTATAGTGTAGTGTATAGTGTAGTTTAGAGTCTAGTGTTTCGAGTCGTGTATAGTAGTGTGATTTATTTTATTTTATACCTATGTGACTTTACCGAAAGAACCAAAGAGTTTTTATAGTGTAGTCTATAGTGTCGCGTATATTGTTGTGTATAGTGTAATGTAGAATGTAGTGTATGGTGTAGTGTATAGTGTAATGTAGAGTGTAGTGTATAGCGTAGTGTGTAGCATAGTGTGTAGGATAGTGTAGAGCGTAGTGTACAGTGTATAGTGTATTGTGTATTGTACCAGTGACGTGCGGAGAGGTCAATGGCTGGGGAGGCACTGGCGAGTGTCAAAACCAGATTCACACACTGAGGGGGGCATGGCCTCACTGACAGGGGCGTGGCCTCACTGACGGGGGCGTGTCCTCACTGAGGGGGGCGTGTTAGACACGTCCCCCTCAGTGAGGCAGATGTGATAGCTGCCTCCCCTGGTGCTTTTTCATCGCAGTTTCATGACGAGACCAGCGAGCCTAAATATCTTTATACACATAAGTGAAATAAGCTACCTGGAGTATGGAAGGCGAGGACATGAAATGAAGGGGTCTACAAACATTACATTGGTGACATACTGAGATAGTAACAAGCACTCGCTTATTGCCCGCGCTCCATCCAATTACTGAGGGGTTGCGCAATCAGAGGGGAGGCTGAGCTCGTCGCTGCCTCACCTCTCGTCTCTTCCTGTATTTGCAGCGGAGCTCCGCAAATTTGTCGATTTTGAATAAAAAAATGATTGGAATCGTACAGAAATGACATTTATAACACAGATCAGTGGAAAAATGTTAATATTAATTTTATTTGATTATTCTTTTTTTTTACTTTTAGTAACAGCTATTTTTATTGTAGTATGACAAGATAGGCTCTGCCTCCCCTGTCTCCCCTGACCGCACGTCCCTGTATTGTAGTGCACCTTGTGCGTGGCCTTGGGGCCCGGCAGGTCGTGCAGCGTCTCCATGAGCGGCTGCCTCAGCGTCTCGGGCAGCAGGAGGCAGAGACAGCCGGCGGAGACCCCGGCCAGACCCAGCACCATGAAGGGCAGAGAGTGCATCACCCAGCTCTGTTCACGCAAAGGAAAAAAAAAAAAGGGGGTCCCCCACCCCAACCACCGCATAGCCTCTCACAGACCGCTTTTGTCTTCCCAAGCGGTGACGTTTGAGACATCGCGCCGGGTGCTTAACTTAGGGCCGAGTCGACCGAGGGGTAGGTCCAAAACTGGTTCAGATATTCGCCGCTGTTCATTGGCTGGGTCCATAGCTGCAGTAGGCGCTAATCACCGCGCCACCGCTCCCTACACACGCGTACACACAGAGCCTCACACACACACGTACATTCACACACACGTGCATTCACACACACACACGTGCATTCACACACGTGAATTTACACAACAACCGCCATTCGCCACTAAGAGGCGGTGACATCACCATGACGCTTGTGCCAGGCTATGTGCACGTTGAGGCCACGTGAAGTGTCGAACGCCTGCTGGCAGGAGGTCACGGGGCAGACCCAGGTGCCACGGGTCGATTGACTGAGATGACTGGCTGATGCACCACCTGTGCCCCCTACTGTGCCAACTTGCTGTGCTTTAGCCACCAGGCGCTCCGCTCGTTGTGAACGTTGCTCTTCCACCCTCCGTTGTTGGAGGGCGACTGCCTCTAACTGCTCAGTAACATCCTTCACGAGCCTCCTTCACAGAGGTCGATCTTGACACCGCTGGTACCAGCCATCGGCAAGTCCACTCAGCTCCACAACCTCCTGTACCACATCACTCCATCTCTTTTCTAGCCCGTGCCGCGCCCGTTTAGCCCCCTCGATCCGTCCGAACAAAAACTGTTTAGGCATGCGGTGGCTGGGCATGCGGGCTACACGACCCAGCCAACGCAGCCTTGCCTGCCGGAGGAGCTCACCGATGGGACCTTGTCCAGATCTTTCAAGGATTTTTGAGCTCCTCACACAATCCAGCCTGGTTAAACCCAGGATGGATGGTAGCCAGGCCAGCCGAAATGTTTGTAACCGGCAAAGATGTTCCATTAGGGGGGTCCACGTTTCGCAAGCGTAGAGAAGGGAGGGAATGACTGTGGCCGAGAAGACCTGAAACTTCGTGCGGAGCGACAGACCAGGTAGCTTCCATACAGCGTTACGCAACCGATGAAAAGATAATACCGCTCAACTGATTCGGAGTGAGACCTCTGCTGTAAAACCGGACCTGCTCATGAGCACACTGCCCAGGTATGGGAAACTCTCCACTCTTTCCACAAGTGCCCTATCACCAATTGTGAGTTGTGGGGGTGGAGTGTCCAATGGTACAAAATACCCAGGTAGGTGCTTAGTTTTGGTGGGGCTGATGGTAAGGCCCCACCTCTTAGTGGCAAGCTCCAGGTTCAGCAGCAGTGCCTCCAACTCCTCCTCTGAGTGAGAAACAATTACCAGATTATCGCCATACATAACATGGTTGAGCAATAGGGAGCCATCCCTTGACCGCACCCAGGCATCGATCAGCCTCCCATTGTATCTGTACCAGATGGAAATTCCCCCGGTACAGCTATTGAAGGCTTCACGAACTACGTGGTTGAAAGAGATAATGTGGGAGCCAGAGGACATCCCTGTCACACCCCAAGGAGAACAGGGAATGGCTCCGACTCCCGGCCACATAGTTTTACCCGGGCCCGCTCACCATCATGAAGGTCCTTAATGATTGTGAGCAGAGGGTCAGGGACTCCGAAAGCACAAAGAACAACCCAGAGCCTAGGCCCACTGATGGTATCATAGGCCTTGACCAGGTCAATAAAGCAGAGATGTAGGTCTTGTTGGAATTCCCTACACCTCTGCTGTAGCAGACGGACAGAAAATATGACATCTGTGCAGGACCGCCCTTTCCTGAAGCCGCATTGGGGCTCTGCAAGCCTCTCCTCAGCGTGCCTGGCAAGGCCATGTTAAATAATCCTTGCCAGGACCTTTCCCGGCACACTGAGGAGTGAGATGCCCCTGTAGTTGTTACACTCTGTGCGGTCCCCCTTCTTAAAGAGGGGGACCACAAGGGCATCCTTCAAATCCTGCGAAACCCGTCCAGTGGTCCAGACTGTTGTTATGATGACATGTAGGACAGTCTGTGTACAAACGCCACCCTCCCTCAGCATTTGGCTTGGGAGATCATCTCTGCATGGTGCCTTTCCTGGTCTCAGACTTTGGATCGCCTTCAGTACTTCCTCCACAGATGGCACCTCAGCCAGCCACTCACAGGGGGTGACTTCTTCCAATATTTGAGGCACCGCAGCCTCACCAGGGTCATCCCCACTTTGTCCCATGATGCTTGACAGGCTGAGGGATTTCCCCTCTCCCAGGACCTCAGAAATGCTCAGCAAATCTGCAAACCTGTCCCTAGGGGTCGGAGATTGGATCATCGTCCTTTCCCCTAATGATGGTAATAGGTGTGGCGCTGCAGGTTACTTTTTTATGGAGTTAAAGAGCGATTTGTGATCGTGGGCCATTGAGGCAGACTCCATCGCCTCAGCGACCCGCGACCACCACCCATCCTTGCAGCGCCTCACGGATCTCCGAACCGCCGAGCGAAGGCTGCATTCTCTGATGTGGGATGCTGTAGACGGTGAATGGGCCTGTCGCTTTTTCTCAGCCAGCCTGAACACCTCCTCTGTCAACCAGGGTCTCTGGGGAGGTCTGGACCGTGTACCCAAAGCAGCCATTGCAACTGCATGAGCCACAGTCCTAAACCTCGCCTATTTCCTCTCGACATCAGGAGGAGTGGGGGACGATGCCAACCCCAGCCGCAAGCGATGATGAAATTCTCGCTTGCAACTTTCATCAGCTAGCTAAGACCATGCCACTATGGGTTTGAATGGGATCCTAGGTGTACACCCACCATCCGAGGTGGAAGAATGGCAGGCACATCTTACAGATGACAAGTCGATGGTCAGTGGGCAGATCAGCTCCACGGTAGGTCCTGGTGTCAAGGACATGGGCCCGCATCCACTGTTCCGTCACTATGTAGTCCAACAGATGTTCTTGCTTGGACCCGGCATGCATCCATGATGTTGTGTGGATGCGCCGATGCCGGAACAGCGTATTGGTAATTACAAGCCCATGGGCCAGCTCATCTGGCCCATGCCTTCTAATCACTCCAGACCAGGTGCCAGCATCATGACCAACTCGAGCATTGAAGTCACCCAACAATACGACTCTATCCCGAGAGGCCATTTTAGCTAGCACCTGTGACAGGTCATAGATGGCATCTGACTCATCGGCCTTGCCTGCATCCCTCCACGGATGTTCGTCTTCGGTGGGGGCATAAGTAACCACGACCACCACTCCTCGCCTCTGTTTAATGGAAAGGCGAGCCCAAAGTAGCCTGGGGCTTACAGCTTCCCATACCTCTCCGCCATGCTCCCATGCCCCCTTCATTATTTTGTTCAGAAGAAGAGCCACTCCCTGTTGTTTGGCAGTCTCCTGCCCGAGTAGAGGAATGTCCACCCCTCATGGTGGCAGCAGCCAGAGCTGGTCCACCAGACCTCCTGAATACCACAGAGATCCAGGCGGTACCGGTCCAGCTCCCGACAGAGGAGTGGCAGCCTCTCTTCCGCAATGAGCATTCGAACATTCCTCATGGCCAACCGTGGTGGTTTTTTGTTGTTTCTGGAGCCCCGAGGGTAAGGATTCAGTCTCCTGGCTCTGCCAAATGGGGTTTGGCCAGGAGACGTCATAGAAGCCTGTCAATCCGGGGCCTCTGGCACAAGCTTAGTAAAAAAAAATAATCGTGGTTTCGTGGTAATTAATTGAAGGTGGAGGTGTTACCAGCCCCTCACACCCGTCCAGAGCCTCCATTTGGCTGCTGTGGTGGCTACAAACGCCATGAGGGCAATGATCAATCTAAGTTGGCCCTCCCCCCATGGCACTTCCCACCACAGCGTTGCCATCCGGCACCAATGAGGTAGGGGGTTGTTTTTGCCGGACAACATTCACGCACAAATATGCATTCACACACACACATGCATTCACACACACGAGCATTGACACACATGTGCATTCACGCAAACACACACACACGTGCATTCACACACGCACACACACCCGCGCGTGCTCGCGTACAATGTGCGTAACCAATACAAATACAAAGATCTCCCGTATTGCCTGACCAGACTGTTAGGGCAAGTACTGTCAGCGAGTAGCACCTACGAAGGCCGGCACGACACACGAGGGCGTGGGTTGCCAGCACAGCCATGCACGGCAACCTTTGTCTCCCCAGTGAAGATGTTTTATACACATCGCACCAGGTACTTAATTTACGGCTGAGTCGACCTAGGGAAGGCCCAGGACCGGTTCAGATAATCGTCACTGGTGTTGGCCGTGAGCTGGAATCCAACTCGGGCCACGCAGCGCGCTAACCACTGTGCCACCGCACGCCTATACACACATACACACTCATAATCACACACACGTACAACAATAACAACAGCCGCTAAGTGCCAATGACGTCACCAGGGTATGACTCTGCATAACCTCGTGTGAACTCATGACCCGGAGTGACCCTGCCATAACTTTTTCTTTACTATTTACTATTTCTTATTTTGCCAAGGCAAGGCCCACTGAGCTATGTAGACCTGACAGACACGCACACACCAAATATACAGCAGCTGTCAGGGTCGGAATCAAACCCTCAACCTCCTGTATACCAGGCGATGTAGTTAACATCTCACAACTGTGGTGCCCTAGATTGTAATGGCCATGTCAGAGACACTGAGAAGCCTGGGTTCCAATCTGGTGCTTGCTGACAGGACTTGTCTCAACAGCTAATATAGGCTTTCCATGCGACCCCGCGTGACCTCGTGTGACCTCGTGTGACCCCTCGTGATCCCGCGTGACCCCGCCTCACCAGACTGGGGATGAATGGAGCGAGGATCCCGCCCAGACGGGAGGACGTGGAGCTCAAGCCCAGGGCGACATTCCTGGGGGGGCGAGAAGGATCGTTATAACAAAGGTTGTCATCACGCTGCTACTTATGAACTCGCTACAACACAGCACGTTATAACGTAGGTGTTATAACACATCTTGTTATAACGCAGCTCCTTATGAACTCGCTACAACACAGCTCGTTACAACGTAGGTGTTATAATGCAGCTTGTCAGTGCTAAATAAATTAGTTTTTCAATCTAACAGCGGAAGGAGGAGCGTTCCAGACGGCCACAGAAGCGCATCTGATTGCCTCCCAGTCGTGTAACTGCTCACCAGTTGTCTGAAAAACATTTTCTAGTTAAAAACCCCCAGTGCAACTCTCCTGGATAAATTTGTCAAATTATTAAATCGTTATTACGGCACCACGGTAGCGAAATGTTCGCTGGTATACGGGAGGTCGTGGGTTCGATCCCGACCATGACGCCTGTTGTATATTTTGGGTTTGCGTGTCTCTCTCCCCGCGGAGTTTTCTCCGGGTCCTCCGGTTTTTCCCTCCACATTTAGAATCGTCATCACGCGTTTAGAGTATTTGGCTGCTATAAATTTCCACACGATGATAAGCCACTTCGTTGAGCTATCATTTGCGATGGCCAGGTCACTTCTGAAAAAGAGCTATGTAGCTCGATGGGGTCTTACCTGATAAGATAAAAAAAATGTTTAGTTTTTTTGATGGTTAACCTGATGGAGGTGGGGTAGAGTTCGGAGGTGTAGATGTAGACGATGCTGAAGGCAGCGCTGATGCACAGCTTCCCTGCTAGGGCCAGGTACTGGCGCGCCACTGCGCACCACAAAAAGACAAAGATCCCACGTATAGCCTGAACAGACTGTACGAACGAGTGCTGTTAGCGGGCACCTATGAATGCCGGCACGGCACACAAGGGGGAAGGTGGCCAGCACCACGCCCGGCCGCTTTTGTCTTCCCAGTAGCGATGTTTACACACCGCACCAGATACTCAATTTGAGGCTGGGTCGATCTAGGGGAGGCCCAGGACTGGTTCAGATAATCATCACCAGTGTCGGCCGTAAACGGCAATCAAACTCGGGATATCACCGGTTTCGTAGTGTAGCCCGCACCACAGCTCCCCACCACACACACGAGACCAACTCACCCTCGTGCTCACCAGACAGGGTCACCAGCGCCGCGACGGCGATGCACGCGATACCGCCGCAACTCAGGAATCCCGAGAGACCGCGCCTGCGCCCACACCTGAGCAGGGGGAGGGGGGGACACAAAATGAGCAGCAAGCTCAGCCAATCCGAACCACGCAGGCTCGGCCAATCCCAGCCACGCAGGCTCGGCCAATCCCAGCCACGCAAGGCTCGGCCAATCCGAGCCACGCAAGGCTCGGCCAATCTCAACCACACAGGCTCGGCCAATTCCAGCTAAGCAGGCTTGGCCAATCCCAACCACGCAGGCTTGGCCACTCCCAACCACGCAAGGTCAGCCAATCCCAAACACGTGGACTCGGCCAATCCCAGCCACGCAGGCTCGGCCACTCCCAACCACGCAAGGTCAGCCAATCCCAACCACACGGGCTCGGCCACTCCTAACCACACGGGCTCGGCCACTCCCAACCACGCAGACTCAGCCAATCACAGCCGCGCAGGCTCAGCCAATCCCAGCCACGCAAGCTCAGCCAATCTCAACCATGCAGGCTTGGCCACTCCCAACCACGCGAGCTCGGCCAATCCCAACCACGCAGACTTGGCCAATCCCAGCCACGCAGGCTTGGCCACTCCCAACCATGCAACCTTGGCCACTCCCAACCACGCAGGCTCAGCCAATCCCAGCCACACAAGCTCAGCCAATCCCAGCCATGCAGGCTCAGACAATCCCAGCCTTGTGGGTTCACAAACAAAATAATTTTGATTTAACAAGGTAAGGCCCACTTTACTATGTAGCTCTTTTTCAGAAGTGGCTTGGTCACAAATGATTGCTCAACGAAGTGGCTTATCATGTGGAAATTTATTGCACCGGAGGACCCAGAGAAAAATCCACATGACCACAGGAAGAATATGCAAACACCAAAATTACAGGAGATGTCAGGGTCAGGATCGTACCCACGAACTCCTATATACCAGGCAAGGTAGTTAACATCTCACCACCGTGGTGCCCTAGATTAGAATGGCCATGTCAGAGACACTGAGAAGCCTGGGTTCCAATGTGGTGCACACTCACAGCACGTGTCTCAACAGCCCAAGTAGGCCATGTGGGGGATCTAATTTCCATTTCGTATGTGTACCAATGTGGTGCGGCACTTCGCGCGCTGATCTGCGAACCGAGTTTGATTTCCGCTCATGGCCAGGAACAGTTACAGCGAATATCTAAACCAGTAGTGGGCCTCCTCTAGGATGACTCAGCCTTAAATGAGTATCTGGTGCAGTTTGTGTAAAGATCACCATCATTGGGGAAGCAAGGCGGCAGGGCGTGGTGCTGGCTACCCACCCCCTCGTGTGCCATTCCGGCCTTCATAGGTGTGAGGGAACAAAGGCGGGTCCGAGCTAGGGGGAGGAGCTGCCAAACAGGTACTTAAGGGGGACCCCCCCTGGGGAGCCAGGGCAAGGATTGGCTGCAAGGTGTCTCTTCCTCCTCGTCACCAGGCGGTGTTGGATGAACCCCTGCTCCGGGCAGACGAGTGGGAGAACTAAGGGAATAGCCGAGAGTGGGGTCCGGAGTATTCAGTAGGGATTGGCTGAGAGAGGGTTTCTCTCTCCTCGTCGCTGGACGGTGTTGGATGAACCTCAGTTCCGGGCAGACGAGTGAGAGAGCCCTAAAGGATAGCCGAAGGCAGGACCAGATACTGTTCAGAGTCTGGGGTAAAGGACCCAGATAGAGAGCACCTACCTCTGGTGTGAGTTAGAGTATTGACTTCAACTGTGTTTAATAAACGGCAACAGCCCTTACAGCATTCCTCGTCTTCGCGTGGTTCTACGGCACAACATATATGTACTTGTGTGTGTGTGTGTGCGTATAGCGGTGCGGCCGGCAAACCACCGCTTATGGCCAACACCAGTGACGATTATCGGAATCGGTCCTGGGCCTCCCCTAAATCGGCTCAGCCTCAAATGAATACCTGGTCCGGTGTGTAAACATCGCCGCTGGGGAGACAAAGGCGGCCGAGCGTAGTGCTGGCCACCCACCCCCTTGTGTGCAGCTCTGGCCTTCATAGGCGCTCGCTAACAGCACTTGCTCCAACAGCCTCTTAAGGCTATACGGAGGAATCTCCGTCTGTATCTTTATAGAGGTACATAGATGGATGCCGTGTATGCTATGTGCTTGTGTGTACGATGCGCCGCGTGTCCTATGCGCCGTGTGTACTATGTGCTGTGTGTACTGTGTGCACTATGCACGAGGTGGGTACCAGGAGGCGTTGATGAGAAACAGGGACAGAGGATACGAGGGCAGCTCCGCCAGCCCAGAGAGCGCCAGCCCCATGTGGACGTCACGGCTGAGGTCTCCCACGCCCAGCGTGAGCCCGTAGTACACGAGGCTGCACACAAACCTGCGCACGCAGCACACACAGTACACATGACACATCGTACACACGGCACATAGTACACACAGCCTGTGGTACACGAGGCTGCACAAAAAACCTGCACACACAGTATACATGACACATCGTACACACGGCACATAGTACACACAGGCCGTGGTACACGAGGCTGCACAAAAACCTGCACACACAGTACACATGACACAGTACACACGGCACATAGTACACACAGCCTGTGGTACACGAGGCTGCACAAAAAAACCTGCACACACAGTACACACGACACATCGTACACACGGCACATAGTACACACAGCCTGTGGTACACGAGGCTGCACACAAACCTGCACACACAGTATACATGACACATCGTACACACGGCACATAGTACACACAGCCCGTGGTACACGAGGCTGCACAAAAAACCTGCACACACAGTATACACGACACATCGTACACACGGCACATAGTACACACAGCCTGTGGTACACGAGGCTGCACAAAAAACCTGCACACACAGTACACATGACACGGTACACACGGCACATAGTACACACAGCCCATAGTATACAAGGCTGCACATAAGCCTGCATACAGTACACACAGCACATCATATACACAGCAGATAATACACACAGCCCATAGTACACCCACAAACTTGCACACTAACTTGCACACAGTGCACACAGCTTAACACAAAAACCCGCCACCACCCGACACAGACGATTAATAGGTTTAGTGTCACGTAAACAGAACGTGGCCAATTCGTTACTAGTACAGCACTAACCGGTGTGTTGGAGAGCAAAGCCACAACATTTACAATCTGAGTACGACGTTTCGCCAGTAATTACAACCAGCTTCATCAGGCGACAGCCAGATTTGTGGAGAAATCCGCCTGTTTCGTTCCTTAAATAGAGGGGTAGATGTGATGACATCACTTGTGAGCTCTACTTGCACGAGGTGGGGGGGGATTAATGAATGCATATAAATGACGATGGGTATTCATTGCCGGTTGGGTTATTAATATGGTAATCAACGTACAGTCATACTTCGATATAGAATACTCTCAATGATTCCAATTTTACACGCTTTCTTTTAACTCACTGTCTGTTGTTGTCGTTGTTGTATCCTCAAATCTTGTAACTCAATTTTAACCCACTTCCCAGTGTGGTATCGACTGCTAACTTGGTATACTTATGTCATACTGATGACAATACTATATTCTATCATTAAAAATAAAAAATATATATCTTTAAACATGATTTTTTATATATGTTTCGGCTTGGGTCTAATTGTCCACTGTCAACTGACGTTGGCTGTAATTGGCCACGGTCCCTTACGTTGTGGCGAGCTTCGGGGCCACTTCCTGGAGTCGTGGAGTCCTGCCATTACGAGTACATTTCAGAAAAGCGTGTTTTTAAAAAAGTTTTAAAAAAAATATTACTTATTAAATGGAGGCCACGGACTGTGCCACAGAGCTTTTAGCGGTAAACAAGGCACCGTATTTACCGGGTAATACTTCGCGCTACCTTTACCCTACCAGGTAATTCTTCCGAGCAACCTTTACCCTACCCTTTACCTTACCCCTTGGCATGTCAACACCTTTACCATTTGCCTTTTTACCTGGTAAAAAGGGTAAATTACCTTACCTTGCCGAGGCCTAGCCACCGGTTCTTCACATTCTGCAGACGTAGATGCAACTGGTTCTTCACGTTGTGAGACGTAGATACAACTGGCTCTTCACGTTCTGCAGATGTAGATCCCATTGGTTCTTCACATTCTGCAGATGTAGATGCCACTGGTTCTTCACGTTCTGCAGATGTAGATGCCACTGATTATTCACATTCTGCAGATGTAGATGTCATTGGTTCTTCACGTTCTGCAGGTGTAGATGCCACTGGTTCTTCACGTTCTGCAGATGTAGATGCCACTGGTTCTTCACGATCTGCAGATGTAGATGTCACTGGTTCTTCACGTTCTGCAGATGTAGATGCCACTGGTTCTTAATGCTCTGCAGATGTAGATGCCACTGGTTCTTCATGTTCTGCATATGTAGATGCCACCACCGCCATCTATTGCACGGCGGTCAAGACATAGGGACGGGGTCTGTTCATATGTCTGAAAGTTCCTAATTCGAATGTTCATAAGCAGAGGAGTACATACATACGTCACGTGTGTGCGTGTGCGAGCGAAGCTCCGACCGCGTGTCGCTCGCTCTCTCTCACCACGTGTACATCATGACGAGCGTGCGCGTGCGCAGAACCGGGTGCGTCCCCACATCCATCAGCGATCCTCCCGCCGCGCCCCCCCCCCCTCGCCGCCCCCCCCTCCCCCGAGCCTCGCAGCGGGCGCAGCTGCACTTGGGGCGGGGGGAGGGAGGCGGTCGACGTGGCTCCGACGTTGCCCCTGGCGATGAGGGACAGCGTCTTCTCCGCCTCCACGATACGACCGCGGGAATGCAGCCACCGCGGGGATTCGGGCAGCATCCACCTGGGGGGCGAGCGCACACACAGACACGCGCACACACACATAGACATACACGCACGCACACACAGACACGCGCACACACACATACACGCACGCACACACAGACACGCGCACACACACATACACGCACACACACACACAGACACGCGCACACACACATACACACACAGACACGCGCACACACATACACACGCGCACACATACGCACACACACACGTGCACAACAACAACAACCGCCATTCGCCACTAAGTGGCGGTGACGTCACCACGACGCTTGTGCCAGGCTATGTGCACCTTGAGGCCATGTGCACCTTGAGGCCATGTGCACCTTGAGGCCACGTGAAGTGTCGAACGCCCGCGGGCAGGAGGTCACGGGGCAGACCCAGGTGCCCCGGGTCGACTAACTGAGATGCCTGGCTGATGCACCACCTGTGCCCCCTACTGTTACAACCTGCTGTGCTTTAGCCACCCGGCGCTCCGCTCGTTGATGTGAGCGTCGCTCCTCCGCCCTCCGTTGTTGTTGGAGGGCGACTGCCTCCAACTACCCAGTAGCGTCCTTCACGAGCCTCCTCCACAGAGGCCGATCTTGACACCGCTGGTACCAGTCATTGGCAAGTCCACTCAGCCCCACGTCCTCCTGTATCACATCACTCCATCTCTTCTCTAGCCCGTGCCGCGCCCGTTTAGCCCCCTCGATCCGGTCGAACAAAAGCTGTTTCGGCATGCGGTGGCTGGGCATGCGGGCTACATGACCCAGCCATCGCAGCCTTGCCTGCCTGAGGAGCTCACCGATGGAACCTTGCCCAGATCTTTCAAGGATTTGTGAGCTCCTCACACAATCCAGCCTGGTTAAACCCAGAATGGATCGTAGGCAGGCCAGCCTAAATGTTTCTAACCGGCGAAGATGTTCCATTAGGGGGGTCCACGTTTCGCAAGCGTAGAGAAGGGAGGGAATGACCGTGGCCGAGAAGACCTGAAGCTTAGTGCGGAGCGACAGACCAGGTAGCTTCCACACAGCGTTACGCAACCGATGAAAAGATATTGCCGCTTGACTGATTCGGAGTGAGACCTCTGCTGTTAAACTGGAGCCAGTCATAAGCACACTGCCCAGGAATGGGAAACTCTCCACTCTCTCCACAACTGCCCCATCACCGATTGGGAGTTGTGGGGGTGGAGTGTCCGATGGTACAAAATACCCAGGCAGGTGCTTAGTTTTGGTGGGGCTGATGGTAAGGCCCCATCTCTTAGCGGCACGACACGTGCACACACACAGACACACATACATGCGCACACACATACACACACGTATACAAGCACACACACACACATACACACGCACGCACACACATATACACACGCACGTAGACATGTACACGCACCCATGCGCGCACACACGTACACTCATGCACGCGCACACCCACATACACGCGCAGACACACATGCACACACACAACAACAACAACAACCGCCATTCGCCACTAAGTGGCGGTGACGTCACCACGACGCTTGTGCCAGGCTATGTGCACCCTGAGGCCACGTGAAGTGTCGAACGCCCGCTGGCAGGAGGTCACGGGGCAGACCCAGGTGCCACGGGTCGACTGACTGAGATGACTGGCTGATGCACCACCTGTGCCCCCTACTGTGCCAACCTGCTGTGCTTTAGCCACCCGGCGCTCCGCTCGCTGTTGTGAGCGTCGCTCCTCCGCCCTCCGTTGTTGTTGGAGGGCGACTGCCTCCAACTGCCCAGTAGCATCCTTCACGAGCCTCCTCCACAGAGGCCGATCTTGACACCGCTGGTACCAGTCATCGGCAAGTCCACTCAGCTCCACGTCCTCCTGTACCACATCACTCCATCTCTTCTCTAGCCCGTGCCGCGCCCGCTTAGCCCCCTCAATCCGGCCAAACAAAAGCTGTTTCGGCATGCGGTGGCTGGGCATGCGGGCTACATGACCCAGCCATCGCAGCCTTGCCTGCTGGAGGAGCTCACCGATGGGACCCTGCCCAGATCTTTCAAGGATTTGTGAGCTCCTCACACAATCCAGTCTGGTTAAACCCAGGATGGATCGTAGGCAGGCCAGCCTAAATGTTTCTAACCGGCGAAGATGTTCCATTAGGGGGGTCCACGTTTCGCAAGCGTAGAGAAGGGAGGGAATGACCGTGGCCGAGAAGACCTGAAGCTTAGTGCGGAGCGACAGACCAGGTAGCTTCCACACAGCGTTACGCAACCGATGAAAAGATATTGCCGCTCGACTGATTCGGAGTGAGACCTCTGCTGTTAAACTGGTGCCAGTCATAAGCACACTGCCCAGGTATGGGAAACTCTCCACTCTCTCCACAACTGCCCCATCACCGATTGGGAGTTGTGGGGGTGGAGTGTCCGATGGTACAAAATACCCAGGCAGGTGCTTGGTTTTGGTGGGGCTGATGGTAAGGCCCCACCTCTTAGTGGCACGCTCCAGTCTCAGCAGCAGCGTCTCCAACTCCTCCTCTGACTGAGCAGCTATTACCAAGTCATCAGCATACATAACGTGGTTGAGCAATAGGGAGCCATCCCTTGACCGCACCCGGGCATCGATTAGCCTCCCATTATATCTGTACCATATGGAGATTCCCCCGGTACAGCTATTGAAGGCTTCACGAACTACGTGGTCAAAATAGATGTTAAATAATGTGGGAGCCAGAGGACATCCCTGTCGCACCCCAAGGTGTACAGGGAATGGCTCTGACTCCCGGCCACGTAGTTTTACCCGGGCCCGCTCACCATCATGAAGGTCCTTAATGATCGTGAGCAGAGGGTCAGGTACTCCAAAAGCACGAAGAACGACCCAGAGCCCAGGCCTACTGATGGTATCATAGGCCTTGACCAGGTCAATAAAGCAGAGATGTAGGTCTTGTTGGAATTCCCTACACCTCTGCTGTAGCAGACGGACAGAAAATATGGCATCTGTGCAGGACCGCCCTTTCCTGAAACCGCATTGGGGCTCCGCAAGCCTCTCCTCAGCGTGCCTGGCAAGGCGATGCTGAATAATCCTTGCCAGGACCTTTCCCGGCACACTGAGGAGTGAGATGCCCCTGTAGTTGTTACAGTCTGTGCGGTCCCCCTTCTTAAAAAGGGGGACCACCAGGGCATCCTTCCAATCCTGCGGAACCCGTCCAGTGGTCCAGACTGTTGTTATGATGTCATATAGGGCAGTCTGTGCACAAACGCCACCCTCCCTCAGCATTTCGCTTGGAAGATCATCTCTGCCCGCTGCCTTTCCTGGTCTCAGACTCCGAATCGCCTTCAATACTTCCTCAGCAGATGGCACCTCAGCCAGCCACTCACAGGGGGTGACTTCATCCAATATTTGAGGCACCGCAGCCTCAGCAGGGTCATCCTCACTTTGTGCCACGATGTTTTCCTGGCTGAGGGATTTTCCCTCCCCCAGGACCTCACAGAAATGCTCAGCAAATCTGCGAACCTGTTCCTGGGGGTCGGAAATTGGATCGCCGTTTTTTCCCCTAATGATGGTAATAGGTGTGGCGCTGCAGGTTACTTTTTTGATGGAGTTAAATAGAGATTTGTGATCACGGGCCACTGAGGCAGACTCCATCTCCTCAGCAACCCGCGACCACCACCCATCCTTGCAGCGCCTCACGGCTCTCCGAACCTCCGAGCGAAGGCTGCGGTAAGCCTCCTCATTCTCTGACGTGGGACTCTGTAGCCGATGACAGTGGGCCTGTCGCTTTTTCTCAACCATCGTGAACAACTCCTCTGTCATCCAGGGTGTCTGGGGAGGTCTGGACCGCGTACCCAAAGCAGCCATTGCAGCTGCATGAGTCACAGTCCTAAACCTCGCCCATTTACCCTCGACATCAGGAGGAGTCGGGGACGATGCCAATCCCAGCCGCAAGCGATGATGAAATTCTCGCTTGCAACTTTCATCAGATAACTGAGACCAGGCCACTTTAGGTTGGAATGGGGTCCTGGGTGTACACCCACCACCGGAGTGGAAGAATGGCAGGCGCATCTTACAGATGACTAGTCGATGGTCAGAGGGCAGATCAGCTCCACGGTAGGTCCTGGTGTCAAGGACATGGGCTCGCATTCGCTGGTCCGTCACTATGTAGTCCAGCAGATGTTCTTGCTTGGACCCGGCATGCATCCATGATGTTGTGTGGATGCGCCGATGCCGGAACAGCGTGTTGGTAATTACAAGCCCATGGGCTGCACAAAAATCTAGCAGCCTCCTACCGTTGTTATTGAGCTGATCTGGCCCATGCCCTCCAATCACTCCAGGCCAGGTGCCAGTATCATGACCAACTCGGGCATTGAAGTCACCCAACATGATGACTCTATCCCGAGGGGCCACTTTAGCCAGCACCTGTGACAGGAGGTCATAGAAGGCATCTGACTCATCGGCTTTGCCTGCATCCCTCCACGGATGTTCATCTTCGGTGGGGGCATAAGTAACCACGACCACCATTCCTCGCCTCCTGTTGATGGGAAGGCGAGCCCAAAGTAGCCTGGGGCTTACAGCTTCCCACACCTCACCGCCACGCTCCCACGCCCCCTTCATTCTTTTGTTCAAAAGAAGACCCACACCCTGTTGTTTGGCAGTCTGCTGCCCCGAGTAGAGGACTGTCCACCCCTCATGGTGGCAGGAGCCAGAGCCGGTCCACCGGACCTCCTGAATGCCGCATAGATCCAGGCGGTACCGGTCCAGCTCCCGACAGAGGAGTGGCAGCCTCTCCTCTGCAGTGAGCGTTCGAACATTCCACGTGGCCAACCGTAGTGGCTTTTCGTTGTTTCTGGAGTAGCCCCGAGGGTAGGTATTCAATCTCCTGGCTCCGCCAATTGGGGTTTGGCCAGGAGACGTCATAGACGCCTGGCCCCCCGGGGCCTCCGGCACAAGCTTAGTTGTTACATATTTAAGTTTAATTCGTAGTTTCGTGGTAATTAATTGAAGGTGGAGGGGTTACCAGCCCCTCGCACCCGTCCAGAGCCCCCGTTTAGCCCCTGTGGTGGATACATATGCCATGAGGGGAGGAGCCAATCAAAATTGGATCTCCCCCCACAGCGCTGTCCACGACAGAGTTGCCCGTCCGGCACCGCGAGGAGGTAGGGGGTTGTTTTGCCGGACACACACAGACACGCGCACACACACATACACGCGCACACACACATACACGCGCACACACACGGACATGCGCATACGCATACACACGCGCACATTCACGCATGCACACACGTGTTATAGAATTGTTATAGGATTGTGTAATAGGGAATGTGTTATAGGATTGTGTTACAGGATTGTGTGATACAATTGTGTTATAGGATTGTGTTATAAGCACTGTGTTATACGAATGTGTTATAGGATTGTGTTATAGGATTGTGTTATAGGATTGTGTTCTCGGGGCGGCGTCTAGTGGAGGTGGTTACAGCGACGCGAGGAGCAGTAGCACCCCGGGGACGTTGGCTGTCAGCGTGAGCCAGCGCCAGGGCCTCACCGCCACCCCCAGCGCCGCAAACACCACCAGGCCCAGCGCAAAGAACGCGCTGTACAGGGACCCTGAGCACGCACGCACACAAAGACAAAGACCCCCCGTGTAACCTTCAACAGACTGTTGGGGCAAGTGCTGTTAGGAGCGAGTAGCAGCGCCTACGGAGGCCGCCACTGTGGCACACGAGGAGGTGGGTGGCCAGCACCACGCCCGGCCGCCTTTGTCTCCCTAGTGGCGATGTGTACTACACATCACACCGGCTACTCATTTGAGGCCGAGTCGACCTAGGGGAGGGCCAGGACCGGTTCAGATAATCGTCACTGGTGTTGGTGGCCGTGAGCGAGAATCGAACCCAGGTCGTCTGGTTCGTGGCGCAGCGCTAACCGCTGCGCCACCGCTCTCCATACGCACACAGACAAAGACCACCCGTATAGCCTTTAACAGACTGATGGGGCAAGTTCTGTTCATGAGCACCTCTGAAGGTCGGACAGACTCCAAAGTGGCGAAATTTACTACACACGGGAACCAGGTTCTCATTTGTATGTGTGCATGTTCAACTTCTTTTGCACCGTACGTTGCCAACCGTGCAAATAGTAACGTAGTGTATCGTAGTGTAGTGTATAGTAGTGTAGTGATGTACAGTAAAACCTTGGATTGCGAGCATAATTCGTTCCGGAAACGTGTTTGTAATCCAAAGCACTCGTATATCAAAGCACTCGTATATCAGTTGTGATCACGTGACGCTCGGCAGACAAAGCGTATACATGTACACTACTCGTATTGCAAGACCTCTCGTTCGTTTATCAAATTAATATTTATTTAAAAATTTTGCTCGTCTTGCAAAACACTCGCAGACCAAGTTACTCGCAATCCAAGGTTTTACTGGAAATTGAGTCACTATGGCGATAGTGCCAGCCACTGAGAGAAGAACGTAACTGTGCGTCCTAGAGCCTCTCTCTGTCACCAGAGTACGTATGGCATACGGGACAGTCTCGGTAAACCCAAGAGGGCACGTGAGCAGCAGAGGATAAGGACGGGGGCCAGAAGGGGACCGAAGGGGGGATATGTTATGTAAGGTTGCAGAACCTTCTGAGAGGATAAAGGGGCAGTCCCGGGAGCGTTCTGGGCTGTCTTCTGGAATCAACCCGCCGTCCTATGCTCTTTGGGCTTCGGTCGTCACATTCGACATCGTGGGTCAGGCAGGACTTTACACTGACATGACCCGTTTATATAGTGACCCTGTTGGGGTCTAGCTCCGTAGTAGTTACCACATCGTTGGTTATCCCGAGTGTTTAATGTAGTTTGTGTAGCTACCCCGTTTGGGGTGTATAATAAACGAGTTGCCTCCGAGTTACAAGTGTCTGCCTCTGTGGGACCCAGTACAGCAGTGTATTGTAGTACAAAGTAGTGTAGTGTATAGTAATGTAGTGTATAGTGTAGCGTATAGTAGTGTAGTGTACTATAGTGGTCTATAGTACACTACGTGACTTTACCAAATAGAACCAAAGAGTATGGATCCTTGCAGTCACGAAAGCTTAAAATCTAGAATACTATAGTAGTGTATAGTGTAGTGTATGTATGCCTCCCAAAAAACGACCCCTTGTCCACGTCGTGGGAGGTGGTAACAGGTAAAGTTCAGGATTGCCAGACAGGGCGAAGTTTGGTGGATGGTTCGACCACCTGGGCCGCTTCGGTAACCATGGAGGCCTGTCTGGACTCACCTGGAAACGCGCTGGCTAACGGGGCTCTGGTTAGCCACTTAGGCTAAGGGAGTAAACCCTGATAAAATCCCGGGTGGATACCAAGTGGCCAATGACCCACCTCAGTGGGGCGGATGAGCTACGGTCCAGATGGCCAACGGCATATGGCGGAGGAGTCACTAGATGTCTGGTGCTTCAGGACAAGCCTTCCAATCGTTATTGGTGTTTTGCCTCGCCATTGGACCAAGTCTTGGTTCCTGTTTAAGCCCCGTGCGGTAGCCTGGTCTGCATCAGACACTGCACGTAAATTAATTCACGCACTGGCACCCTCCAGGGAAACTGTGCCATCGCACCACCACACTACACACCCGAAGCCCTTGGGCGATTGGCAAGTGGCGAGCGGGGCAGGCCTATGCAGCTAGAAGCTCCTAGTCACAACACAGCACCAAGGCGGCAGCTATCAGAAGGTCTTCATGCACTCGGATTAGGCAAGCGTGCATCTCGGCAGCTGTAGCTGTGACTGAGCAGCCCACGAGGATCCACTCTGCTCACCCCAAATGGGGAGGGGGCTAGAAAAGGTGCCTTAAACATCGTCTGCCTCGCAACATCCTGTCTGGCTTACCGCGACCAGAGGGAGCATCAATAATAGCGGTCTAAACAAAAAGAAATACAACCTAAACATTGGATCCTGGAATGTCAGGACCCTCGCAGACAACCCAAACTCGCAACGTCCAGAGCGCTGAACAGCTCTTACGGCACACGAGCCGAGACGATTGAATATCCAAATTGCCGCCCTCAGCTTAGCCCGTCTGGCAGATGAAGGCCAACTGACTGAGCTAAGTGGAGGCTACGCCTTCTTTTGGAAGGGAAAACCAGCGCATGAACGATGCGTGCATGGTGTCTGTCGGGTTTGCAATTAACAACATGCTCATCGACAGCTTAAATGAGCTCCAATTTGGTATCAATGAGAGTTTTATGACTCTATGCCTGAAACTTGCAAAAGACCAACATGCAACCATCATTGTCACACCGTCTTCTTGCCACTGCTGGAAAAATACTGGCAAGAATCCGACTAAACAGACTTCTGCCACTTGCTAAAAGACTCCTTCCTGAATCGCAGAGCGGCTTTCGACCTGGCAGGGGCACCTCGGACATGATCTTCTCAGCCCGTCAACTCCAAGAGAAGTGCCAGGAGCAGAGACTACCATTGTACATGGCCTTCTTTGATTTGACTAAAGCTTTTGATTTTGTTAATCGTGATGCACTATGGAGAATCCTTCTGAGATATGGCTGCCCAACAAAATTTGTTAACGTCCTCCGTCTGTTTCATGACGGTATGAAGGCTGTCATCCTCTCTGATAGTGAAACCTCAGAGCCAATCAAAGTTAAGGACCGGTGTGAAGCAAGGCTGCGTTATTGCACCAACTCTTTTCTCCATCTTGCTGACAGGAATGCTTCATCTGACAGAGAACAGACTTCCCAGAGGCATAAATATCATATATAGGAGAGACGGGAACACATTGAACATCAACCGTTTCAGAGCCAAGTCAAAAACATCAATCACATCCGTTATTGAATTCCAATATGCTGATGATGCCCAAATCAGTGCCTGCTCAGAAGCTGACCTTCAGGTCATCGTCAACATATTTACAGATGCGAACAGCAGGATGGGTCTAACATTGAATACCAGCAAAACAAAGATCCTTTTTCAACAAGCTCCGGGAGGACACCTACCACCCCCTACAAGCATTACCAACTATGCAATACTTGAAAACGTTCCCAGTTTCCCATACGTGGGCAGCCATCTCTCTAGCAAAGTCTTAATTGATTATGAAATCCAACATCGGATTGCCCGAGCTAGTGCTGCCTTTGGCAAACTTAAGAATAGGGTCGTTGAAAACCACGACATTACCACCAAGACCAAAGTGGCTGTGTATAATGCTGCGATCATTCAAACCCTCTTATATGATGCAGAAACCTGGACCACTTATCGTAAACACGTGAAATCTCTCGAAATATTTTATCAACGCTGTCTCAGGAAAATACTAAACATCACCTGGGAAGAAAGACGAACTAATATCGGTGTCCTGAAGCGATCCAACTCATCCAGCATAGAGGCCATCATTATGAAGTATACAGTGAGGGTAAAAAGTATTTGATCCCCTGCTGATTGTGTACGTTTGCCCACTGACAAAGAAATTATCAGTCTATAATTTTAATGGTAGGTTTATTTGAACAGTGAGAGACAGAATAACAACAACAAAATCCAGAAAAAACGCATGTCAAAAATGTTATAAATTGATTTGCATTTTAATGAGGGAAATAAGTATTTGACCCCCTCTCAATCAGAAAGATTTCTGGCTCCCAGGTGTCTTTTATACAGGTAACGAGCTGAGATTAGGAGCACACTCTTAAAGGGAGTGCTCCTAATCTCAGCTTGTTACCTGTATAAAAGGCACCTGTCCACAGAAGCAATCAATCAATCAGATTCCAAACTCTCCACCATGGCCAAGACCAAAGAGCTCTCCAAGGATGTCAGGGACAAGATTGTAGACCTACACAAGGCTGGAATGGGCTACAAGACCATTGCCAAGCAGCTTGGTGAGAAGGTGACAACAGTTGGTGCGATTATTCGCAAATGGAAGAAACACAAAAGAACTGTCAATCTCCTTCGACCTGGGGCTCCATGCAAGATCTCACCTCGTGGAGTTGCAATGATCATGAGAACCGTTAGGAATCAGCCCAGAACTACACGGGAGGATCTTGTCAATGATCTCAAGGCAGCTGGGACCATAGTCACCAAGAAAACAATTGGTAACACACTACGCCGTGAAGGACTGAAAGCCTGCAGCACCCGCAAGGTCCCCCTGCTCAAGAGAGCACATATACATGCCCGTCTGAAGTTTGCCAATGAACATATGAATGATTCACAGGACAACTAGGTGAAAGTGTTGTGGTCAAATGAGACCAAAATGGAGCTCTTTGGCATCAACTCAACTCGCCATGTTTGGAGGAGGAGGAATGCTGCCTATGACCCCAAGAACACCATCCCCACCGTTAAACATGTCGGTGGAGACATTATGCTTTGGGGGTGTTTTTCTGCTAAAGGGACAGGACAACTTCACCGCATCAAAGGGACGATGGACGGGGCCATGTACCGTAAAATCTTGGGTGAGAACCTCCTTCCCTCAGCCAGGGCATTGAAAATGGGTCGTGGATGGGTATTCCAGCATGACAATGACCCAAAACACACGGCCAAGGCAACAAAGGAGTGGCTCAAGAAGAAGCACATTAAGGTCCTGGAGTGGCCTAGCCAGTCTCCAGACCTTAATCCCATAGAAAATCTGTGGAGGGAGCTGAAGGTTCGAGTTGCAAAACGTCAGCCTCGAAACCTTAATGACTTGGAGAAGATCTGCAAAGAGGAGTGGGACAAAATGCCTCCTGAGATGTGTGCAAACCTGGTAGCCAACTACAAGAAACGTCAGACCTCTGTGATTGCCAACAAGGGTTTTGCCACCAAATACTAAGTCATGTTTTGCAGAGGGGTCAAATACTTATTTCCCTCATTAAAATGCAAATCAATTTATAACATTTTTGACATGCGTTTTTCTGGATATTTTGTTGTTATTCTGTCTTTCACTGTTCAAATAAACCTACCATTAAAATTATAGACTGATCATTTCTTTGTCAGTGGGCAAACATACAAAATCAGCAGGGGATCAAATACTTTTTTCCCTCACTGTAAACTCAGATGGGCAGGTCACCTCGCGAGGATGAATGACTCCGAGGCTTCCTAAGCAAATCTTCTATTCCCAGCTCAGCGATGGATCACGTTGCCCCCGGAGGTTGTCACGTTTCCGTGACAACCTTAAAATGCACCTCAAGCGAAGCCACGTAGATCCAAACAACTGGGAAGTCTATGCTCTTGATAGACTATCATGGAGGGCCAAAATAAACACTGGAACTCAGCATTTTGAGGCCGAGCGAAGAGAGTTGATAGCCAGGAGAAGAGCATGCCGCAACGCAACACACACCAGAGACAGAGACAACAACGAGTGTGAGCTCCAGGATGGACCATCTTGGTGCCCCCCCCCCCCCACTGTGCCAAGATCTGCAGGTCACGGATTGGCCGATTCAGCCATCTCCGGACCCATGGACAGCCAGGTCCACCTCACAACACAGACACAAGTGACACCTGGAGGGAAATCATACTCGACTACGAGGGATCCCAGAAGAATAAAGTATGTTGACTTACTTCACACCGTACGTAGCCAACTGTGCCACCAGAGGTGCGGGGGGGAAGGACAACAAACTAAACACAAAAAGCAGTTCCAAAGAAATTCGTTTATAATTTTGAATTAAAAGTGCGTAGCTCCAGCGACTTCCTAATATAGGAAGGAAGAGCGCTCCAGACGGCGCCAGAAGCACGTCTGAAAGCGCCGTGCGATGCGGTCACCGTCTTTGTTCGACGGTCAGCCAAAAGCGGCCGTTGCTGCTGCTGCTGCTGCGAGGATGACCGGAGTTCGCATGGTGATGGGTGTGTCCTCCTTGACAAGATCAGCGAGGTATCGTGGTTCATTCGTGGTGATCGCTTTGCGTGCGTGTGATGAGCGCGACCTCACAACGTGTTCGTTCGGCAACCGGAAGCCAATGCAAACTCAGCAAAAGTATCCAAAAAAGTTACCAAAGTAACGAAAAGTTACTAAAATGTGACCAAAAAAGTTTCCAAAGTTATGAAAAAAGTAACCCAAAAATTACCAAAAATGTTACCAAAGTAACCACTTTTTTACCAAAGTAACCAAAAAAGTAGCCAAAGTATCCAAAAATAACCAAAGTTACCAAATAAGTAACCAAAGTAACCAACAAAATAACCAAAGCAACAAAAAAAGCAACCAAAGTAACCAAAAAGTAACCAAAAAATTACCAAAAAGGTTACCTCTAAAGTTACCAAATAAGTAACCAAAGTAACCAACAAAGTAACCAAAGCAACAAAAAAAGCAACCAAAGTAACCAAAAAGTAACCAAAAAGGTTACCTCTAAAGTAACCAAAGTTACCAAATAAGTAACCAAAGTAACCAACAAAATAACCAAAGCAACAAAAAAAGCAACCAAAGTAACCAAAAAGTAACCAAAAAATTACCAAAAAGGTTACCTCTAAAGTTACCAAAGTTACCAAATAAGTAACCAAAGTAACCAAAAATAACCAAAGCTACCAAATAAGTAACCAAAGTAACCAACAAAGTAACCAAAGCAACAAAAAAAGCAACCAAAGTAACCAAAAAGTAACCAAAAATTACCAAAAAGGTTACCTCTAAAGTAACCAAAGTTACCAAATAAGTAACCAATTGCGAATCGTAATATTTGGTCATGAAAGCCTCCGTGTACAAATTAACGTTCACTTACCACCGCGTGGCACACGGCCGGATCTCATAGTACCCTGTCACGGGAGCGCACCGCAGAAAAGTTTTGCACACGATGCGGTCCCCTTGGCGAACGTTTTCGCCGGCACGTCGCACGGCCGCGGCGCCATTACAAATTCGGGCGGGGGAGGTGGGGGTGGCGAGCGCGCGGTGGCTCGACTTACCGGTGCCACCCCAGTAGGCCGAGCCCACGTACTCCTGGAGGAGGACGAAGGAGACGAGAGCGGTGCCGCCGTTGGCGACGCCGACGACAAGTCGCGACGCGCAGAACCAGCGCCATGTGGGGGACAGCGCCGACGCGAAGCCGCCCAAGACATCCAACAGCAGCCCTGCACCCACGACGCCGCCACAAAAACCCCCTGAGCAGACTGTTGGGGGCAAGTGCTGTAAGCCGGTAGCAACTACGAAGGCCGGCATGGCAAATAAAAAGACAAAGGTTACCCCGTGTAGCCTTACCAGACTATTGGGGGCAAGTGCTGTAAGCCAGTAGCAACTACGAAGGCCGGCATGGCAAATAAAAAGACAAAGGTTACCCCGTGTAGCCTTACCAGACTGTTGGGGGGCAAGTGCTGTAAGCCAGTAGCAACTACGAAGGCCGGCATGGCAAATAAAAAGACAAAGGTTACCCCGTGTAGCCTTACCAGACTGTTGGGGGCAAGTCCTGTAAGCCAGTAGCAACTACGAAGGCCGGCATGGCAAATAAAAAGACAAAGGTTACCCCGTGTAGCCTTACCAGACTGTTGGGGGCAAGTGCTGTAAGCGGGTAGCAACTACGAAGGCCGGCATGGCAAATAAAAAGACAAAGGTTACCCCGTGTAGCCTTACCAGACTGTTGGGGGCAAGTGCTGTAAGCGAGTAGCAACTACGAAGGCCGGCATGGCAAATAAAAAGACAAAGGTTACCCCGTGTAGCCTTACCAGACTGTTGGGGGGCAAGTGCTGTAAGCCGGTAGCAACTACGAAGGCCGGCATGGCAAATAAAAAGACAAAGGTTACCCCGTGTAGCCTTACCAGACTGTTGGGGGGCAAGTCCTGTAAGCGAGTAGCAACTACGAAGGCCGGCATGGCAAATAAAAAGACAAAGGTTACCCCGTGTAGCCTTACCAGACTGTTGGGGGCAAGTGCTGTGAGAGAGTAGCACCCATGAAGGCCGGCAGGACAAAAAAACACAAACATCCCCCGTGTAGCCTTGAAAGGTTAAAGGCCATCCGGGGGTACGTTTGTCTCCGCGCAGCGAGATGTTAACTCCATTGCCTGGTATACAGGAGGTCGTGGGTTCGATCTCAACCCTGACTCCTGTATATTGAATTTCTCTCTCCCCGTGATCTCCGTGATTTTTTCTCCGGCTCCTCCGGTTTTTCCCTCCATATTTAGAAACATACGTTTACCGAGTATTTGGCTGCCATAAATATATACACGATGATAACCCACTTTGTTGAGCCATCATTTGTGACCAGGTCGCTTCTGAAAGAGATCCTGGTAGCTCAGTGGGCCTTACCTGGTAAAATGAAAATAGTTCAGTTCATAGTTTACAGAGTGATACGCAAACTCCAAATATGCACGCATCGTCAGGCGAGGTAGTTAGCATCTCACCACCTCAAAGATCCCCCGCATAGCCTTAACAGACTGTCGGGGGGGTGGGGGGAGCAAGAGCTGTTAGCGAGCAGCACACGACGTCTCTGTGCGTATTCTGTACCGATCAGGTAGACGCGCCTCCTGCCGTACAGGTCGGAGCACTGCCCAAATACGAGGGAGGCGAGTAGCACCCCGCAGAAATAGAGCGACGACGCCAGCCCCACCAGGATGGCAGCGTCATCTCCCAGAGCCCACTGCACACAAACACACACCACCTCTATAAACACACACACGCACGTACATACATACACACACCACCTCTATAAACACACACACGCACGTACATACACACACCACCTGTATAAACACACACACACACGTACATATACACTCCACCTCTATAAACACACGCACGTACATACATACACACACCACCTCCATAAACACACACACGCACGTACATATACACACCACCTCTATAAACACACGCACGTACATATACACTCCACCTCTATAAACACGCACGTACATACACACACCACCTCTATAAACACACACCACCTCTATAAACACGCACGTACATACACACACCACCTGTATAAACACATGCACGTACATATACACTCCACCTCTATAAACACGCACACACACACCACCTGTATAAACACACACACGCACGTACATACACACACCACCTGTATAAACACACACGCACGTACATATACACACCACCTCTATAAACACACACACACACACGTACATATACACTCCACCTCTATACCCACACACACGTACATATACACACCACCTCTATAAACACACACACGTACATATACACACCACATCTATACCCACACACACGCGTACATATACACACCACATCTATACCCACACACACGCGTACATATACACTCCACCTCTATTAAAAAAAAAGACAAAGATCCCCCGTATAACCTTAAGAGACTGTTGGGGTCAAGTGCCGTTGAGCGAGCACCTACGAATGCTGGCACGGTACGCGGCAGGGTGGGTGGCCAGCACCACGCACGGCCGCCTTTACGTCTCTAGTGGCGATGTCTACACGCGAATTTGAGGCTGAGTCGACCTAGGGGAAGCCCAGGACCGGTATGGATAATCGTCACTGGTGTTGGCTGTGAGCGCGAATCGAACTTGGGTCGCCGGGTTCATAGGGCAGCCCGCTAACCGCTTCACTGCCGCTCCCCACACACACACGATGCAATAAGACAAAAAAAACATCTCCCATGCAATCTCCATAGAGTGTTAAGAATAAAGATACAATTGTTTTGTTTAATTTGCATATTGTAAGACAAAATATGTTTCGATTTAAAGCTTTCGTGACTGCAGTGATTCATATTCTTAGCTCTTAACGTGACTTTACCGAAAGAGCTAGGAATAAGACAAAATATGGTTTAGTTTTATTTGTATATATTTGTGACGTGATGTGTTCACCTTCACTAAACTTCGATTTAAAGCTTTCGTGACCGCAGGGATCCATATTCTTGGTTCTTTCGGTAAAGTCACGGAGAAGGGAAATAATAAAATAATAAAAAATAAAATACTCACGACGTTTCGATTGCAACACAAGCAATCATCATCATCAGGTGTTTTCACACCTGATGATGATGATGATTTTTCACACCTGATGATGATTGCTTTGTGTTGCAATCGAAACAGCGTGAGAATTGTATTGTTTGATTTTCATCATTTCCCTTCTGCGTGACTTTACCGAAAGAACCAAGAATATACTTCACTAAACTGTTGCTGTAACGTTCTGAGCCCCGTGCCCCTGCCGGACATCTGTCAAAAAGAGCTTCATAGCTCATCAGATTGCTCCTGCAGTCTAAATAAAGATTCCGATTGTTAACTCGCAACACTGGCGCCACCGCCGCACGTATTCACTCACTCTGCGAGAGAGAGAGGACGACTCAAGAGGCGCCAGAAGGAGGAACCACAGACGACCGGGGAAGTAGGCACATACAGTAAAACCTTGGATTGCGAGCAGAATTCCTTCCGGAAACGTGTTTGTAATCCAAAGCACTCGTATATCAGTTGTGATCACGTGACGCTCGGCAGACAAAGCGTATACGTACACTACTCGCATTGCAAGACCCTCGCTCGTATATCAAATTAATATTTAAAAAAAAAAAAATTGCTCGTCTTGCAAAACACTCGCAGACCAAGTTACTCGCAATCCAAGGTTTTCCTGTATGTTGAACTTCTTTCACATCATACGTAGCCAACCGTACGTGCTAATCCCGGGGTATGTTGGCGAGCAAATCCACAGCATTTACAGATCCACAGCAGGTGCGCCGCTGACACGTGCCGCCGAGCTGCGCCGCGTTTACCTCCGTGACAACAGAGGAGCCATTGGCGGCTGGTAAGGGAGGCGAGGTCCTGCGGGAGACCTCCGGGGAGACGGCGCGTGGGGGCGTGGGACCAGCCGGCGGGATCTGTCCAATGAGGATAATCAGCACGGCCTGGAACGCCAAGTACACCTGCGGAGGGACACGCGGAGATTCCCAACACCGCGTTACCTCACCCGCTGATCGCGTCGAGGGGCGTTAAGCCATCACCACGCGAACTCCGCTCATCACTCGCAGCGACGGCGGCGGCTTTTGACTGGCCGTGAAACAAAGGCACAGTCGCCGAACGCTTCCAGAAGCGCATCGGCGGCCGTCTGGAACACTCTTCCCTTCCGATATTAGGGGCCGTTCATAAATAACGTCACGTGATTTTGGACGATTTTTGACCCCCCCCCCCCCGCCGCCTCGTCACACGGCGTCACAAAAAGTCAGAGCCCCCCCCAAATATGACGTCACAAAGCTCTGCCTCCCCCCCAAAAAAAATAAAACATGCTTCAAATCGCTTTCAACTATGCGTATTTAATGTGCCGCTGCACTCTGATGTAGGAGAAAACATTTATTAAAAAGTCTATTTAATTAAGTAGAACGTGTTGTCTATATTTATTTAAAGTTGCGCATTTTGATGTGACGTCACATTTCTCAAACCCCCCCCAGGTGCGTGACGTCATTTATGGAAGGCCCCTTAGGAAGCCGCTGGGAGCTATGCACTTTAAAATCTAGATTGACAAACTCATTTCTTTCGAACTTGCTTATTGTGTTTGGCTTGTTGTTCATCCCCTGCGCCTCCGATTATTACGATTGGCTACGTACGGTGCGAAAGACTTTCAACATACATACGTATATACGGTAGCTTGGGACAATGGTTCGTGTTATTGCTCTGTGGCCATAGAGCTCTCATTCTGTATGTACGTATGCTGAACTTCTTTCGCACTGTACATAGCAAAACCGTAATTATTGGAAGTGTGAATGCTGTCAACTATTTTTTGTTTTTTTACCAGGTAATGCCCACTGGGCTCTTTTTCAGAAGCGACCTGGCCACAAATGATAGCTCAACGAAGTGGCTTCTCACGTGGAAATCGATCGCAGCCAAACACTCTAAACGCACGTTTCTAAATGTGGAGGGAATATTCCGGCAGACCCGGAGAAAAATCCACGCGACCATAGGGGGGAGAGAGACACCGCAAACTCCCAAAGTACAGCAGGCGTCAGGGTTGGGATCGAACCCACGACCTCCTGCGTACCAGGCAACGGAGTTAACATCTCGCCGCCAAGTAACCGGTCCCGACAACTTCGCTCGTTCATTTCTTCCGCCCTGTGTGGACGACTCGGGACGACGAGACACACCGTGTTCAACCATTCCGCTGCAGGTCACAGCAACTCACCGACTCGCTCATCCCAGTCGTCAACTCACCATGGGTGGAGTGAATCAGTGATTGAAGCTCACGGGAACGCTAACCACGGTAGTAGCAGCAGCAGTAGCGATAGAAGAGTGACAGGGAGGTGACCGACTGCCGGTGAATGGCTGAGTCACTGGAGATTTAATCGGTGAGTGAAGTTCACGGTAATGGTAAACCTGGTAGTAGTCGCTAAACAAAGAGTGACAAGGAGACGACTGGCTTTCAATCAGTGAGCGAGTGCCTGGAGTGCATCAGTGAGTGAAGCTGACAGGAAAAATAACCATGGTAGTAGCAGTAGTAGCGATAGAAGAGTGACAAGGAGACTGACCGCCGGTGAGTGAGCGAGAGACTCGAGAGTGAATCGGTGACTGCTGGGCACACCACTTAACTCAATTGCTGCTTTACGCTGAATTCCATCCGGCACAGTGAGTTATAAACTGGGTGCCGAAGTGGCGAGATGTTAACTACCTCGCCTGCTATACAAGAGGTCATGGGTTCGATCTAGACCCTGATGCCCGCTGTATATTTGGAGTTTGCTGCGTCTTTCTCCCCATTGGTCGCGTGGATTTTTCTCCGGGTCCTCCGGTTTTTTACCCTCCACGTTTAGAATCGACGTCACCATGCGTTTTAGAGTCTTTGGCTGCTGCTATAAATTTCCACGCGATGATGATGATAAGTCACTCTCTGCTGACCTATCATTTGTGATGGCCGTGTCCGCTTCTGAGAAAGAACTACACGAGAGCTCAGCGGGGCCTTACCTGGTGAAATAAAAAATAAAGTTTTCTTTTTTGTGATTAACCTGATGGAGGTGGGGTAGAGTTCGGAGGTGTAAAATATAAAGGTGCATCAAGATGAGGGTGATGATAACGATGACGATGATAACGATGACGACGATGACGATGATGACGACGATGACGACGACGATGACAACGATGATGATGCCGATGATGACGATAACGATGATGACGATGATGACGACGATGATGATGCCGATGATGATGCCAATGATGCCGATAACGATGATGACAATGATTGTGGGAGCCACGTCGCTGTCGTCCTGGCACCTGCACGAGCAGCAGCAGGCCACAGCGACGGCGCTGGTAGGGACCGCAGGCGCCAACGACCACGAAAGCTTCCTCCAGATCCATCGGCCCATCACCACCGCGGTGGCGCCTACGCACACGCAGAGCCGACTCGCACGTTGAGTGAAGAATAGGCGACTGTGGCCTTGAATAAAGGGTGGCTGTGGTCGGATAAAGGATTAATAGTGTGTGCGTTTGAATAAAGGATGGTGTATGTGTGGTCCATCACCACGGTTGAATAAAGGATCGAGACTGTGGGGATGAATAAAGGATGTTTATTGTGGTCCAATAAAAGATGGTGACTGTGGTTGAATCAAGGATGAATACTCAAACCGTGTCAACCCACACGGTTTACCCCGTATTCTTGTACAGAGAAATAGAGTTTTCAGATCCATGCGGCGTTACAGCCGTTTCAATGATGGGCAAAAAAATGTCTTGTGATGGGACTTTGCAGGATGAACGTTGAGATTTATAAGGGCACGGGGTGACCAATAAGGTCTGAATTGCTCTGTAATAAGGTAGGGCACTGATAAGGGGTTGACAGTTATGGTTTCTCCAAATTACCTGTTCCACCAGTAGCAGCATTTCATTAAAATATTAGTGCCCTCAGGGGGAATTAATATTGTGTCACTGTGGCTCGAAGATGTTAACTACCTCGCATGGTATACAGGAGGTCATGGCTTCGATCCCGACCCTGACGCCTACTGCTGTATATTGGTGTCTCTCTCTCTTACCATCATCATCACGGTGGCTATGAGATGTTAACTACCTCGCCTGGTATACAGGAGGTCATGGCTTCGATCCCGACCCTGACGCCTGCTGCTGTATATTGGTGTCTCTCTCCCCGTGGTCATGTGGATTTTTCTCCGGATCATCCGGTTATTCATTCCACATTTAGGATCAGCGTCAGGCGTTTAGGGTTATTTGGCTGCTGTAAATCTCCACGTTATAAGCCACTTCACTGAGCTTGCTACCATGACGATTGCCAGGTCGCTTCTGAAAAAGATGTACATAGTTAACTCAGTGGGGGGCTTACCTGGTAACATTTTTAAAAGATTAAGTTTACATTCCCAGACATCTGTGAAAAAAGGAGCTTTATAGCTCATCGGATTCCTCCGGTATAAATACAATTTCCCATTCTGAAAATATTTTAAAACTTTTGGGACCGGTTTTGGTCCCAAAAATGAGCAGTTGTTGGTCTTTGCTTCAATCAATGCTGGCGCAAATGTCAGATGTCTGCAAGGATCCTCTCTCCGTAAGATATCAAACGATGGCCACTTGTTCTATATACATACATCTCACAATTTTCTGTCCATTTGCTTCAAGGCCGCGTAATTATAATATATGAATATGCTCAAAATGTCTCCCCCAATATATTGTAATAAAAAATGCTATTTTATGTAAATAAATAAATAAAACAATTTGCTACACCTTGGCCACAATATCTGGACTTGTCTTCATATAAATCAAGGCATAGATTTCTGTTGATATGATTGTGGTTATATTTTGATTTAAAGCTTTCGTGACTGCAGTAATTCATATTCTTAGCTCTTTCGGTAAAGTCACGTTGAAGGGAAACAATAAAATATATATAAAACAATAAAAATTCTCACGACGTTTCGACCATAACACAAACGGTCGTCATCAGGTGTGTCGGTTTGCATAAATTTATTTATTTTAAAACGGTGTATTTCTTTATAAAAAAACGTCAGCGCCACGCGCAGCGATTTGGCAGTTTGTTCAGAAGGACTAGTCCATCTATGTTCTGAAAAGAGGAGGGGGGAGACGAAAAATTAATGTATGCTGTCTGGAAGGATTTGATAAACCATTTCAGGTCTTAATTGATTGTTCACACTTACGGTGGCTTTCACACAGCATACATTAATTTTTCGTCTCCCCCCTCCTCTTTTCAGAACATAGATGGACTCGTCCTTCTAAACAAACTGCCAAATCGCTCTCCGTGGTGCTGACGTTTGTTATAAATAAATACAAACACCGTTTAAAGATAAATAAATAAACGCAAACCGCAACTTCTTTCAAATGTTCCTTGCCGTTGGTTTTTCACACCTGATGATGACCGTTTGTGTTATGGTCGAAACGTCGTGAGAATTTTTATTGTTTTATATACCCTTTATTATTTTATTGTTTCCCTTCAACGTGACTTTACCGAAAGAGCTAAGAATATAATCGTGGTTATGTTAGTACTTTACTAATCCCTAACCTCTGCCCCATTACATACAATGAAACAAGAAATGGTACAAAAAAATAAGTAAAAAACAGAGCAATGTAATACAATAACACTATTAGACATTATTGTTAAAAATAATAAAAAAATAAAATCCATCCCATGTGCTAGTGACTTTTTAAATATTTTAGGCAGGAAATGAGTTTTCAAATTTAGATTTTTTTTGTTCTGGGTTGGGACCCCCCCAAACCCTCTGGAAGTTTTCGTCCCCCCGCCACCCAATGTTGACTCCAAGGCTACGGCCTTGATTTGCTTCATTGCTGCACTCAGGTTTGTCAAGTGTGTGTCTGTGTGTGTGTGTGACGATTATCTGAACCGGTAGACTCAGCCTAAAATCAGTAGCCGGTGCGTAAACATCGCCGCTGTGGAGACAAAGGCGGTCGGGCGTGGTGCTGGCCACCCAGCACTTGCCCCTACAATGTTAAGGCTACACGGGGGATCTTTGTACTTACTATTAGAAGTACCGTACACTACACGCAGTCCATATCGACTCGCAAGAGGCTTGTAGTAGCCAGTACTTTAGGTGCGTATCCTTCATATCCACTGCGTGTAGACTATATCAAGTACCGTAACGTAGCGAGGATATACACCAATACACTCTGTGTATATACAGTATATATACTGTACTGTAAGTGCGTGTCCAACTGGACGCAGTCCAACATTGACTGCACCGTGTGCCGCTGTGAAACTCCGCACAGTCTACATATATACTGTATATGTAGACTGTACATAGACTGTATATATAAACTCCATACAAAGTACGCGCACAGCGTTTGAAACTCGCGTGAAGTCCACGCGGCGTGCGGTGTGTGTGTGGTGTGTGTGTGGTGTGTGTGTGGGTGGTGTGTGTGGTGTGGTGTGTGTGTGGTGTGTGTGTGGTGTGTGTGTGTGGTGTGTGTGGTGTGTGTGTGTGATGTGTGTGTGATGTGTGTGGTGTGTGGTGTGGTGTATGTGGTGTGGTGTGTGGTGTATGTGGTGTGGTGTGTGTGTGGTGTGTGTGTGGTGTGGTGTGTGTGGTGTGTGTGGTGTGTGTGTGGTGTGTGTGTGGTGTGGTGTATGTGGTGTGGTGTGTGGTGTATGTGGTGTGGTGTGATGTGTGTGTGGGGTGTGTGTGTGTGTGGTGAGTGTGGTGTGTGGTGTATGTGGTGTTGTATGTGGTGTTGTGTACAGACCGCAGCGCACGTGTTGCTACTCGTACCCTCTCTGTAGACTGTATGTAGACTCTCTGTAGACTCTCTCTGTAGACTGTATGTAGACTCTCTGTAGACTGTCTGTGTAGACTGTCTGTGTAGACTGTATGTGTAGACTGACTGTGTAGACTGTCTGTGTAGACTGTCTGTGTAGTCTGTCTATGTAGACTGTCTATGTAGACTGTCTATGTAGACTCTCTATGTAGACTGTCTGTAGTAGACTGTCTGTGTAGTCTGTCTGTGTAGACTGTCTGTGTAGACTGTCTGTGTAGACTGTCTATGTAGTCTGTCTATGTAGACTGTCTAGACTCTCTATGTAGACTGTCTATGTAGACTGTCTATGTAGTCTGTCTATGTAGACTGTCTATGTAGTCTGTCTATGTAGACTGTCTATGTAGACTGTCTATGTAGTCTGTATCGCGTTCTCTCCTTCGTCGGCTGTCAGTTTCCCGCGAACGAGCGCCACGTCCGCACCACCACACGCCCGCGCGCGCACGTCCCGATTGGCGGAGCGCGGTCACGTGGCCCCCCAACTCCCCCAACCCCCCCAACGCCCCCAGCCCCCTAACCCCTCACCCCCAAGCCCCCCACCCCAACGCCCCCACCCCAAGGCCCTCCAACCCCCCACCCCAAGGCCCCCCAACCCCCCCACCCCAACGCCCCCCAACCCAATGCCCCCCACCCTCCAACCTCCCCCAACCACCCCAACGCCCCCCACCCCAACCCCCCACCCCAACGCCCCCCAACCCCCCCACCCCAACGCCCCCCAACCCAATGCCCCCCACCCTCCAACCTCCCCCAACCACCCCAACGCCCCCCCACCCCAACGCCCCCACCCCAACGCCCCCTAACCCCCCACCCCAAGGCCCCCCAACCCCCCCCCCCACCCCAACGCCCCCCAACCCAATGCCCCCCACCCTCCAACCTCCCCCAACCCACCCCCAACACCCCCCCCCCCCAACAATCCCAACGCCCCCCAACCCCCCACCCCAAACAACCCCAACTCCGCCCCCCCAACCACCCGCAAACTCCTCAACCCCCCCCCTGCAACCTCAACCCCCCTACAGGTGACAACTTTACAGGCGCGACATTTCACATCGTCCTCCTTCTAGTCGACACGTTCGTCCTCCGTTCCAACGCATTCGACGTTTCAGCAGTGCACTGCATCGGTTCAACACACCCACCCACCGTCCTTGATTCAACACACCCACCGTCCTTGATTCAACACACTCACCCACCCACCGTCCTTGATTCAACCACGCTAACACCACGATCCTTGATTCAACACACCCACCCACCGTCCTTGATTCAACCACGCTAACACCACGATCCTTGATTCAACACACCCACCCACCGTCCTTGATTCAACCACGCTAACACCACCATCCTTGATTCAACATACCCACCCACCGTCCTTGATTCAACCACGCTAACACCACCATCCTTGATTCAACACACCCACCCACCGTCCTTGATTCAACACACCCACCCACCGTCCTTGATTCAACACACCCACCCACCGTCCTTGATTCAACACACCCACCCACCATCCTTGATTCAACCACGCTAGCACCACCATCCTTGATTCAACCACGCTAGCACCACCATCCTTGATTCAACCACGCAAACACCACCATCCTTGATTCAACACACCCACCCACCATCCTTGATTCAACCACGCTAACACCACCGTCCTTGATTCAACACACCCACCCACCATCCTTGATTCAACCACGCTAGCACCACCATCCTTGATTCAACCACGCTAACACCACCGTCCTTGATTCAACCACGCTAACACCACCGTCCTTGATTCAACACACCCACCCACCATCCTTGATTCAACCACGCTAACACCACCATCCTTGATTCAACCACGCTAGCACCACCATCCTTGATTCAACACACCCACCCACCATCCTTGATTCAACCACGCTAACACCACCGTCCTTGATTCAACACACCCATCCACCATCCTTGATTCAACCACGCAAACACCACCATCCTTGATTCAACCACGCCAACACCACCATCCTTGATTCAACCACGCCAACACCACCATCCTTGATTCAACCACGCCAACACCACCATCCTTGATTCAACCACGCTAGCACCACCGTCCTTGATTCAACCACGCTAACACCACCATCCTTGATTCAACCACGCCAACACCACCATCCTTGATTCAACACACCCACCCACCATCCTTGATTCAACCACGCCAACACCACCATCCTTGATTCAACCACGCCAACACCACCATCCTTGATTCAACCACGCAAACACCACCATCCTTGATTCAACACACCCACCCACCATCCTTGATTCAACCACGCTAGCACCACCATCCTTGATTCAACCACGCTAACACCACCGTCCTTGATTCAACCACGCTAACACCACCGTCCTTGATTCAACCACGCTAGCACCACCGTCCTTGATTCAACCACGCAAACACCACCATCCTTGATTCAACCACGCTAGCACCACCGTCCTTGATTCAACCACACGGTCACTAATACTTGATTTAACCACAAAGTATCCATCCTTTATTCAACCATAGTCACCATCCTTTAATCAACCCGTCACTAGACTTTTCTACCACGTAGTAATCGTCCCACGTTCAATTGGTCATCCATTATTCAAACCAGTCAGCATCATTATTCAGTAGTGAACTATTTGTCTTTTGTAAACGTGACACATTTTTTTTACTGTTTGGCCTTGTCGGGTGGTGGAGGGTTACGACACATGTATAAATAACGCGATCTAACCAAACCCCCTCCCCCCTTATTATGAATAATATTGGTCGCGAAAGCCTACTACGTGTTCAACTGGCTAACCTCTATGGGGAGGATACAGAGATGGTTGTGACGAGAGATTATATAGTAGTGGTGGGGCATGGAGGGAGGGGGGCCATGGTGAGTGTGGGGGCTGGGTGTGGGCTGGGAGAAGTTGCAAAACCGAGGGTGCACTGGGAGGCAACTGGTGGAGCCGAGACTGAGGCTTTGTGATGTAGATGGAGGAAGTAAATAAGCAAGCTAGGGTTAAGGTGCCTTTTGTTATGCTGCCGGGTGGGTAGGTGAGACACACTTAAGCGTTTGTGCTTTTGCTACGTCGTCCCCACCTGAAGAAGGACGCTTGTGTTGCGCCCAAAACGTCGTAATTTAATTTAGTTTTCATTTATTTTTTACCTACGTGACTTTACCGAAAAAAACAAAGAGTATGAATCCTTGCAGTCACGAAAGCTTCAAATGTAGAATCTAAATTTTGATTTAAAGCTTTCGTGACTGCAGTAATTCATATTCTTAGTTTTTTCGGTAAAGTCACGTTGAAGAGAAACAACAAAATAACAAAATATATATAAAACAATAAAAAATTCTCACGACGTTTCGACCATAACTCAAACGGTCATCATCAGGTGTGTCGGTTTGCATAAATGTATTTTGAAAACGGCATATTTATTTATATATATAAAAAATAACGTTTGCGTCACGCGCAACGATTGGCAGTTTGCCAGGACTAGTCCATCTATTTTTTGAAAAGAGGAGGGGGGAGACGAAATTTGTTTTTATGTATGCTGTCTGAAAGCCACTGTAAGCGTGAACAATCAATCAAGAACTGAAATGATTTATCAAATCTTTCCAATGATTGCTAAGATAGAATCCATCTTCTCGGTTGAAATTGTCTCTGTGCTTGTATATGTGGATAGCCTCATGAACGAATCTCTCATGGAAGCCAGATGGCTTACAAAGAACCTCCGTCTTGGAAAAGTCAATGGCATGTGAGCCTACTGAATTAGAACAATGATCTGCTACGGCCGAGGTGTTGGTCCTACCGTGTTTAAGGTCTGCTTTATATTCACGAAGGTGGTCCGAGATATGGCGTTTGGTTTCTCCAATGTAACTACTACCACAGAGGCAACTTAGTTTGTAGACACCAGGGTATTGTATGTCCGGAATCACATCTTTTACAGACGGAACCAGATCACGGATTTTATGTAATGTGTTGAAACGGACCTGGATCTTGTGTTTATTCAAGATTTTGGAGATCTTTTTTGTGATCCCAGCAATGTAGGGTAAAGTGATGGTTTTGAAAGGCTCCTCAAGAGGGTTTTTCTTCATGGTTTGAGTGATAGCTTTGCGGATTGTATAGTCGGAGTAACCATTAGCCCTAAGAGCTTGGTGTACGTGCTTGAGTTCACTGCTTATGTGTTCCTGGTCGGATATGCATTGGGCTCTATGATACAGAGTCTTGATGAGAGAATTCTTCTGTGATGGATGGTGGTGGGAATCCGGTTTCAGATAAGCATCCGTATGGGTAGCTTTCCTGTAGACAGAGTGGCTCATTGAACCATCAGGTCTCTTTTTAATTAGGACATCCAAAAAAGGTATCTTGCCATCTATTTCGACTTCCATGGTAAATCTGATGGCTGGGTGTATGGAATTGATGTGGTCGAAGAATTGGTCTAGAGCAGGCCGGCCATGTGGCCAGATGACAAAAGTGTCATCCACGTACCTCTTCCATAAGGTTGGGCGCAGAGTGGCAGTCTGGATGGCGTCAGTCTCAAATTTCTCCATGAAAATGTTAGCTATAACTGGAAAAAGGGGGGAGCCCATTGGGGTGCCCTCAGTTTGTTTGTAGAAAGTTCCATTCCAAGTGAAGTATGTATTGGTTAAACAGTGTCTCACCAGGGGGGGTACCTCAGTGTTTAGTCCTTGATGAACCAAGTCTTCAATGATTGCAATGGTGTCAGGTACAGGAACCTTGGTGAATAAGGAAACTACATCAACACTGACAAGCAGGTCGTCTGGGGACAGGGAAATACCCTTGATTGTTGATACCAGGTGAGTAGAATTTTGTACCGCAGAGGTGGTTTTTCCAGTGAAAGGACGCAGGATTTCAGACAAAAAACGAGCTAGTTTGTAGGTGGGGGAGCTGATAGTAGAGACTATGGGACGAAGAGGTGTATCAACTTTATGTATTTTTGGTAAGCCGTATAATCTTGGTGGCCTGGCAGCAGAAGGTTTCAACGAAAACTGTTTAGATTGATCAATTAATGCGGTTGAATCAGAAATTATTTTGTTGGTTTGTGT